GGTTAGCAGGAAGATCTCGGCGACCGCTCTTGGAAGGGACCCACGGGACTCCCTCCCGAGAGGCTTCGTCCCTGGCCCTCAAACAATAAAGGCCGGCGCACGCGAGCGAGCGAGCGAGCAGCGCACCCGGGCCGGGGACGGCGTTGGTTCCTGCGCCCGACCGACTCCGATTCCACGGCGACCCTCCCGGCTCCCCCTGGCTGGGATGACGAAAGAGCTGCGTCCCCAGCGGAAGGATTTCAGCGGGCGGGCAGCGTCCCTGCCACGGCGGTGGCGGAAAGGAGTTTCGGTGGCGGGGAGGGGGGGGGAGGAGGAGGAGCAGGAGACAGGCACCGCGCGTTCACCGTCTTCCCTCACGGGCGGGTCTTTGCTCTCCTCACCTCTCTTTCCAGCGCCTCCCGCTCGACCTGTCGGCGCCGAAGAGGTTAACAGGAAGGTTCGAGGATCCCCGTTCCATTCATTTTATCACTTGCTTTGTCTCCCGCTACCGCGACACTGAACTCCGACTCCCCCGGCTCGGACGCCCCGGCTCGTACTACGCATGTGCAGCGTTCGGGGCGGCAGCAACAGCGGCGGCGGCGGCAGCAGCAATAGCGGCAGGGGAAGGCGGAGCCAAGGGCATGGCACGCAAATCCGAGCGGCAAGCCCAGACGGCGAGAGAGGCGCGACGCGACCTCCGTTGGCCGGGTGAAAGGCGTGACGCGCACGCGATCTTCCATCGGCGCAGCGGTGCGCGTCATGGGGACGTCGCGTGCTGTCGTCATGGGTTGGAGGGAGGGGGCAGGCAAAAGGGAAGAGCGGGGCGACAAAATGGTTGCCGCTGATGAGGGGGGGGGGGGGGGGGGGGGGGGGAGGGGGAGAAGAAGAGTTTGTCTTCGGAGACTGAGGGTGTCAAACCGAAGTTGCGAGCGATGGAGCCCTTATTCAGAAACGGATACTGAGTCGAGCGCCGCGGTTTGCTTTACAAAAAAAGGAAAAAGATGCACAAAACCAGCTCCGATAGGCAGCGGACACTTGTTTCTAAAACTGTGGAAAACCTTACTCCGTGCGCGCGTCTCAACTGCTCTTTCGGCGTCTGGGTGTACCATTTTCATGGGCCGAATGCCATATCCTACTTTTTTTAGGGTTAGGGCTAGTGTGAGGTTTCAGGAATGAGAGGTTGTATTAATCACTCAAAACACCTATTTTGCCTCTTAGTATCACCAGGCTCTCGCTGCAAAAAAATAAATAAATCCTGACTGAAATCAATGCAAGGATTGCCTCGCGTTTTGTACTTCTTTAGTAATTCATAAAATTCATCCCAGTGCTGGATATTAAACTGATATTTAATATACAAGAACATTTAAAACACTAAGTATTTAACAGGGTTAGTAAATAACTATGGTATTTCTGAACTTGCTTCCAAACTCCAGGTTTACGTTTTAATTGTAGAAAAATCGGGAGTTTCAACATGGCCAGTGTCCTTGTAAATGCTTATAAAATATTCTCTAAATGGCTGAGAGAAAAGGCAGAAACTTATGCTCCAATTGTTACTAGCTTTATTTTTACATAAAAAAGAAGTAATTTGATATATGTACTTCAAGCCCAATCTAATGCACAAAGTTCCAAAGGCTGCTTATTCATACAAGTGTCAATTCTGTGTGACCAAACAGACTTAATTTCCTTTCCAGTCATTTTATTTGAATATAAATCAAATTCATAAACTCTGTAAGGGTACTGCCCTAACATTAATAATGTAAACTGGATGTGGAAGAGAATGGATAGAGGGCAATGGGTGTGGAAAACTGCAAATGCAAACAAAAACGTCATCCTATATTCTTTCTGCTATTAAATGTATTAAATGCTTACTGTTACAGTATTAATATAAAACAAATAATTGGGTTTTATAAAATACATGTGTTTAAACCAGCAGTCTTATGTACCTGTATGTGAGAGAATACAATTGAGTTAATATTTTTTAAATGTATCATTCTACACATAATTTTTCCTTGTTAGTTTGAACATGTTGTGTTTTACCATATGACCTCTACCTTGGGTGCAGAGATGTAATATATTTTATCTGTATTTTTTTCTTCCACAGCTATGTATTTTTCATGAAGAGACATGTATGTTGACTAAATATACAGAATTCCATCACACTGGATTGCACCATGTAATTATCAGATTAGTGCTTCCTTCACTCCCAGACATTTGTCTCTTCAGCATTTGAAACATTCAAATGTATTAAGAGTATGCCTAATAAAACCATTATGATCCATTAAAAATATGCAAAAGCTTTTGTTTATTTACTTGTTTAACCAGTTATATTTCTTTGGGCTTATGCCAAGATAAAACATTAATATTTTTTTTTGTGAGACATATCGCTACAGAATTGTTTAATGTAATTTTGCCTTTCATACATTTTAAAGTACCAGGAATATGTAGATATTGTTTAATTAGTCTTTGAAAATCAGGTGTAATTGTTGAAAGTATACTTAGTTTTGTACAAATCATGAAGATAAACTTAACCAGGAAAAACTGGATGACTCATGTATATATTTTAACCCTTGTATGGCAATTTGGTCTACTTTCTTAAAGCCTGTCATTTAAAAATAAATGCATCCATTTAATTGTATTAAGACCTCTCCTTTATAGTTAAACTGCAACCCGTTTTGCCATACAATGGTCTTTTTATGGTAAGCCTTTCTGTTGGTAGTGGAAAAGGTAACTTAAAAAGTTAAAAATGTAAATGTAATCCTATCAGAAAGTATAGTTTTCTTTTCCTCTTTAGTGATCTTTGCTTTGTAAAGATGCACTGAATCCACAAACGTTTTAAACCCGACAGATAAAGTAGGGGAAACTTAAAATTAACAGTGAGTTCTGAAATGCCCCAAGTTTACAAAGAGAAGGAAAAATAGGAAAGCTGGAAGCAACTATAGAATGTACAAAGTAATGTGAATGAATTTTGATATTTGGAAAATACATTATAATATTAGATTTTCTTTGGTGAAATGTATTTCATTGTGTGCTCTTACCTTTTGGGATATTTCAGCAGCTTTGGATATTTTTCAAATAACATTTAGAAATGCATTTCAATAGATATTGATTAAATCTTTAAAACAACATGGAATTTTATTTAATATAATACATTCCTAATACATGGAAACCTGATTACTATAATGTAAACTTTAGCATTAAAATGGTTTCTTATCCTAATTATCCTAATTCTTGAAGAATTATGATATTAACTATTTAATGCCCAACCCAAACAAGATCCAAGTATGTGCTTTCCACCTCCGAAATTGAGATGCAAGGGATGAGTTGAATGTTATGTGGCAAGGGAACTGACAACAGCACTGTCCAGCACCTAAATATTTCAGCAGGATACTCTCCTTTAAACATTGCCTGAACACTAAGGAACAATATCAGGAAATTAATAACCATCTACACAGCGCGCATCAGCTTTGTCCTTGAGCATCTTTACTACAGTAGGACACATCTGCCCATGTGAAACAAGCTGATAGCATCGTCAAAGAAGCAGTACGCTTACTGACAGGATGTCTCATACCTATACCAATTGAGAAATATATTCTTTTGCTGGCACTGTCCTGTGCCAATATACTGAAGTGCTGTGCCAATATACTGAAGTGGAGGCTCTTAGCAGATAACATGTTGTCTGTGGAGAAACACAGAGCCAATTGCTCTGCTGTCAGCTTCAGAAACATACCGGTAATGACTTATTTTTGCCCAACAACAAAGCCAGAAAGGTGGCTTGTTCTGCCAGGTTAAAATTAAACAGAAGTAGCGTTTGCCTGAGCAGCACTGCTATTTTTTCTTCCCATAATTAAAACGTTTTATCCCTTTACTTAGGTAAATGTTACCTATATTTGTAAATATTCTTGCATGTTTCTGTCAAGATCATCTCCTTTACTCTCTATACCCTCAACTTTAAGGGGTAGACTAGCTGAAGACATCGACTAGCAGCCACCCAATACAGAGAGTGCTTGACTTAAAACAGTTCATTTAGTGACGGCTGAGTTACAATGGCATTGAAAAGATGACTTATGACCATTTTTCTTTCACACAACTTTTGTAGCGCCCCAGGATCATGTGATCAAAATTAAGATGCTTGGCAACTGGTTCTAATACTAATGACCTTTGCTGTGTCCAAAGGTCATGTGATCAGTTTGCAACTTTTTGACAAGCAAAATCAATGGGGAAGCCAGATTGACTTAACTTTGTTACCAACTTGCCAGCTGCAGTGATTCACTTAACAACTTTGGCAAGATAGGTGGTAAAATGGGCAAAACTCACTTAACAGGTGTCTCACTTGACATTATTTTTGGGCTAGATTGTGGTCCTAAGTCGAGGACTACCCGTACTAGCAGGAACAGACACATTTTATTAACACGCGATCCCGATATTCCTGCAGAAGCTTTACCCTACGGAGAAGCAAGAGGGAATGGCTTCTGGCAAGAGAAATGCAGGAGTCCCTTCCTCACGTGTTACTCAGCAATCCGCCAGTAAACCAGAGTTTAATCCCAAACCATCATCATCCTTTAATTGGAGGGTTCACGGGAGTGAAACAAAATGGCAGTCATCAACCCCCACACCAACAACGCTGGCTTTCTAACTGCCGTTTTGCTTTTCAACCCGGCAAGTTTTAACGGACAGCCGGCAAAAAAAACAAAAAAAACAACCCAGCGCAGACCGCGCGAACTCCCGCTCCTCTTCTGGAGCGCAGTTTACGTCCGCCGAGAGAGGCTTTGGGGGAGGGGGAAACCGTAAACCTTTCCCCACGATGATTGGCTGATGGAAGGGTGACGAACTTCGGGGGGTTGGGGGGAGAGAGAGAGAGAGAGAGAGAGAGGAAAGGGACCCGTTGGCTCCGCCCACAAAACGCGCGGCGTCTCGGCTTGCCGTTTGCGTCGACGTCGTCCGCGGGGCTGGGAGGTGCCTGGCGCCCTCACGTCCTGCTCCTCCTCCTCCTCTCCTCTCTCTCTCCCCCCCCACCAGCGCGCTCCCTCCCTCCCCTCCCCCGCCGGCGCGAGCGCTGTGGTGAAGCCGCCGCATTGTTTGTGCCGAGGGGGGGAGGAGGAGGGGAAGATTCTCGGCCACGGGCGCCTCCGCACCCAACCCGCAGCCGGACTGCGGCCCTTGGCGACGCGCTCCGCCTCCCGCCCCGAATGCGTCGCTGCAGCCGGATCCAGCAACCACCACCCCCTCCGCCGCCGCCACAACCAGGAGCTCGCGGGCGGCCGCGACGGCGCGGGCTATCCGCTGCCGCCTCGGTCTCCGTCCCGCCGGGCGCTAACAGCCGGAGGAGCCCCTCGGGCCCACCGATAGTTCAGACCCCAGCTCGTTGTCTCGAGTGAAAAAAGAGGAGGGCCTGTCAGCCGCGTCCTTGCGGCTCCCTCAGGTGAGCGCTGGAGAGCTCGGGCGTGAGGGGGCAAAAGCTGGCCGGCTCTGGCACGGCCTCTCGAGTCGGCTCCGCCGGGCCGAGAGCTGCGGAGGCAGGATGGCATTGGGCGGGCGCCATGTTTGCGGCCCGAGTATTGTCCCGGCAGGGGTGGGGAAAAGCGGGCGAAGGAAGGAAAGGGCGCGCCGGGGGGCCGCTTGCGGTGGAGGAGGCTGGAGAAAGAGTTGCTGGGCCTGGTGCGGAAGGAACCATTCTGGGAGTGCGGGGGGGGGCGGACGGGGGGGGGGGGGAGCCAGTGGGTCTGGGCAGGAACCATCGGCGCGGAGGCGGGGTGTGGGAGGGGAAAAAGAGGCGTGCTCCGGAGCCATTCAGCGTGTGTGTTTATGTCACGATGGGCGCGGACAGGGCGGGGAGAAACCAATGTTTGGGGGCTGGGGGATGACTCGTGTGGGACGAACCATTCTTAGAGAGGAAGGCATGGCAGCTTCATGTTTGTTTGTTTGTTTGTTTCCGCCCAGTGGCTCGGGAAATGGCTCTCTGTACCTCGTTTCGGCTCAATTGTCTTCCTCGAAAGGGTTAGGTTTGGTGACGTCAAAGGGGGGGAGGATTAATTTCCGTACAGATCCCTTTAACTTTGGGTGAAATGCAGTTTTGCCCTTCCATTGGCTTGGTTGCTGTGCCACCGTGGTCTCTGACGACCACATGGGTATAGATTTGAGCGTAAACATGTAACAGGATTAGGTTGCTGGAGTTACTGAAGAGTAGCCCTTATAGAAAGGGTTCTCTTCTGCCCAGAGTGTTGGATGGTTGGTTGGCATAACAACTTAATAAATTATTATTCATCGGAATTTATCTTTTAAGTGGACTGGGGGGAAAGTGTTCTTGTTACTTTTTTTTTTTGTATTAAATAGATGATATCAGAAGTTCAGCAAATAGTGAAATTTGCTTATTAGTTGTTTTTGAGAATATTTAATGTAGTCACTTTGGTCTAGTGGTTAAGAAAGCAGGTACAGGACCAGAGTTCAGGTTCTGCCTTGGCCATGAAAGCCAGCTGTAGGACCTTGGGCCAATCACTTTGTCCAACTCATTCCACAGGAAACATAGGAGGAGGAAGGTACTTTACTGCCTTGGGTTATTTGTAAAAAGCGGGATATAAATAATTTCAGTTGCAAGAAGTGTTGATTGTTATTGCTGCAACTTGATTATTATGTTGAATTCAACCGTATCTCTTTGTTGTCTGAAATAATTACGACAGAATGTCTGATTTAATAATTCTCTGAAGTTGATATAGTTTATGTTCTACAGGTAGACCTTGATTTACAGCCTCAATTGAGCCCCAAATTTCTAAGTGCTAAGTGAGACATTTGTTAAATAAGTTTTACTTCATTTTAGGACCTTTCTTACCAGAGTTGTTAAATGACTCGCTGCAGTTGTTAAGTTAGTAACACTGATGTTAAATCAATCTGGCTTCCCTATTGATTTTGCTTGTCAGAAGGTTGTAAAAGGGGTTCACAAAACCCCTGGATACTGCAACTGTCATAAATATGAACCAGTTGCCAAGCATCTGAATTTTGGTCACATGGAGATGCTGCAGTGGTCATTCAGTGTGAAAAATAGTCATAAGTCACCTTTTTCACTGCCATTGTAACTTTAAATAGTTGTAAGTCGAGGACTAACCTGCTCAGGGTATGTCTGCATGCATAGATCTGGGATATCTGCCTTATTGGCTATAAAATTATAATAATGGCAACCATAAAAGATTCTTAAGAAATAAATGTTTGGATGAATTGTAGTACGCTTTGTATTTGAGAGTGAAACCTGTTGAAATCTTATATTGTATTTTACAAGCATAAAGTTATATTCCAAATTGCTGCTTGTAACAAATACTTTTAAACTTGTATATAGTTATTCACAGTATAAGATTACAGTTTTTGGGTAGAAACTAAACTTGGCTATAAGATGCTATTTTAAAAATAACTTTTAAGTAAACCCTAACAACTTTGGAGTTTTGTAAATATTTATTTTGATGCAAGGTTTGTAAATACATTGTTGTACATATGGAAATATATATAAAATAGCCCATAGAATAAATCTTAATTCGATGGAACTCTGCACATGCTAATATTTCTTATCACTATTTTAACATAATTTCACTTAAATATATATACTGTTTAAAAAGACATTTTTAGTCTATAGCAGCTTTATAGGAGCCTCTGTGGCGCAGTGGTTAGAGTGCAGTACTGCAAGCTACCTCAGCAGCCAGCTGTCTATAGTTTGGCAGTTCAAATCCCACCAGGCTCAAGGTTGACTCAGCCTTTCATCCTTCTGAGGTGGGTAAAATGAGGACCCAGATTGTTGGGGGCAATATGCTGACTCTGTAAACCACTTAGAGAGAGGGCTGTAAAGCATTATAAAGCAGTATATATGGTTAACTGTTTTTTAGGATTCTGTTTTTTAGTAAAGCTTTATAATGAGTTTGAAAAGTAGAAAAATCTGAGTAAATTATGAGCATAAATTAATGTCATTCAGAAAAACTAGTACTATGACTTAAAACATAGTTTGCACATGCGTTCTGATATAAATCCTTACAGGGAAAAGTATACATTTTAGAGAGTTAGATGGAATTTAGAAGTCCAGTCCTTGAACACTGCAGGATTCATCCCCAATAGATGACTATCCAGTGTCTTCCTGAAAAACAACACTGCAGTGTTTCTCAATTTTCGCAACTTAAAGATGTGTGTAGAATTCTGAGAGTTCAATTTGAAAGACACATCTCAAGTTGCCAAGATTCAGAAATGCTGCTCCAGTGAAAGGATTAATTTATTGACAGCTCTTAAATTACGGTAACCAAACAGTTGAAGAATAAAGGTTTAAATGTATTTTATAGTGTGTATTTGTAATTTATTTGGAACGGAAGATAAATGAAAACAAATACATTTTCCTTCTAACATTTTATGGTTTTATTTATTTGTAATCAGAAGACATAGTTCTTTGATGAATGGGTACAACATCTTTATAGGTGGGAATAAGATCTTATTGAGCTTCATTCCCTTGTTAATTGCAAAGTCGTGTCCGACCCATTGTGACCCCATGTACAACGTTCCTCCAGGCCTTCCTATCCTCTACTATCCTCCGGAGTCCATTTAAGCTCACGTCTACTGCTTCAGTGACTCCATCCAACCATTCTCTGTCATCCTCTTCTTTTTCATTCCCTACTCTTCACCAACTTATTTTATTCTATTTGCTCATGTTCCTTGGCTTATTGGTGTAAGACAGCTCTAGACAAATGTCCTTCAGTGTTCTTGAATAATATATATCCATATTCTAAAGATTGAGAGGGGGATTAACTGGGAATAGCATACCTCTATAGATATAGATATATATAGTCTTTATCTGGGTATTCTTGATCAGAATGGTCCAAACATCATTTTTCTACATGTTCATACGTTTTACATGTATACTTCAATACCAATCTACTTCATATTGCAGTGCAATTTTTCCAAATATATGTGTGGTACATAAGGATTATCATTTGTCCTATATTGCACTTTTGCTAAAATAGAATCAACTGTGTCAGTGAAACTTTCCAGAAGAAATCAGAAAAAATGAACTCTGATTGATTCAATGGAATTACATTTAAAGTTTTCATTCCCCCCCCCAAAAAAAATATCTACACCAATTCCCACCAATATATATGTGATCTTGCTTCATTTTTCTTGCCATTTTTAGTTCTTTCATGAAAAGGTTTCCAAGTTTTTTTTTAAACACCCCCTCTCTGTGGGTATAAGAAATTGATTGCATCAAAGATAATTTCCTCCCTCTGTACTTTTGGGAATGGAAGTTTTTCATGGACAATTTCTAATGTTACTTGAGCTACTGTCATGTATGGACAGACTGAAAATTAAATGCAACAACGTAATATGATCTGAGAACATGAAAAGAAATAGGGGATCTATATCATTATTAGAAGTTACTATTTGGTCAATTACTATTCAAGATATTTTTTCTCAATTGTTTCTGAAGATGATATATTTTATTCCAGGTATAATGCTTAGAATGCTGAACTACCAGTGGAATCTAATAATTTACAAGAGATTTCATGCCTTGGGTATTATAAATTCTGGATTTTCAAAATTATTTACTGGAAGTAATTCATTTAGATTAAATAGTAAAGATTTGGTTTGTAATATTTGTAAACAATGTTTTTTTTTTACAAAGTATAGTGTTCAGATAAATGTACAATTTATCTCAGCTATTCATCATAGGAATAATAGCCTGTGGACTCTCAACTTTTCATAATTTGACTGAAATCTGCATTAAACAATGATTTTTTTTTTCAGAAGAATTCCTTTACTATAACATCAACCATCCAAATATAAATTATCTACATTAATTTAATCATTAATACAATATGGGGAAAACAACTCTAATTCTTTTACAGTCATAGAATTGAGTCAAATAAAGAAGTAACCACAGCAATGGCTTTTCTTCAGAATAATCCACAAATAGCATAGTATAAAAATATACATCTGTAGTTATTAGCAAATGAAATAATATAAATGTTGTATTTAATATCTATAAGTTTAACAGCATTTTGCAATCTACTATTCATGTTACACAATATATACTTTTGCATTTGAGAATTTCACAGAAAAAGGAAACCTAGTCCACATAGAATAGGAACAATAAAGTTACATTGAAATCATGAATTCTTATTTCCTTAGTAAAGAATATAAACTGATAATTAATACACCCATTGTGCATTCACAAGTCTTTTTTGATATCCCAAATAATGTGCTTGTCCTACTCACAAGTAGCAATAATGGACAGCTGACAGTTTAGAAATATAAAAACAAAGTAGTAACAAAAGAATATAAAGATGTTCCATAATACCACATCATCAAAAATCAAGCCACATGTGCCTATTTGACTCTCCTTTATTCTCATCCATCTCTTCAACTAGCATCAGACAGTTGCAGCAAAGACTATAATTCTAGGTCTCCTTGACTTCAAAGAATGTAAATGAAATGAACTAATCATATTGTGGTTTGATTTATTGAGTGGTACAAAATCATTTGTATACATATACAGGACTTTTTGTCCTGAACTTGGAATAAGCAAGGAATATTTTGTTTTGAACATAGAATAAAACTTACAACATGGGATGTTTTTTTCCAAGTTCAAGACACATTAAGTTGCCATTTCTAACTAGGTATGTTGAATCAGAGTTGCCTTTTTGTTTCATATGTGTCCTAGACAGAATTTTGGAATAGAAAGGCTGTCCTGAGGAGAATAAAAATGTTCATAATATAGACAGTGCTGTCTTAAAATGTCAATTTTTTTATTTATTTATGTATTTGATTTCTATAGCTGCTCCTCTCAGCAAACGACTCTGCATTAAAAAGGCTGAGATTTTTACTCTGTTGAATGTGAGAGCAGGAAAAATCTATAATGTATATCCTGAGTGTGAGAAAAATAATATTTATTGGAATTAAAGAAATAATGCAAGAATGTATAAGTGTATGCATATTAGACATTTTTTCTCCCCTCTGAGGCAATGATGTGAAGACTGTCTTTGTTATGACTTCATTTAAGAGCAAACCAAAATTTTCATAACATTTGATAAATGTATACGTATAAACAACAAATATAATGTTGGGTTTTAATTCTAGGTAAATATATGTAGAAATGTAACTTTAACCAATTCACATATCAAATTTGCAGGTGACACCAAGCTGAGGGTGGGGGGATATTGCAAAACTTTGGAAGATAGACTCAGGATTCAAAAAGATCCAACAAAATGCAGCTTAATGGTGAGAAAAGTAAGGCCATCCACTTACACAGGAAAAAACAAATATAAAGGTACAGAATAGGCAGTACCTGGCTCAACAGTAGTATCTGTGAGTGGGATCTAGGTTTCCTTATCAATCACTGCTTAAGTTAGTGATGTGCTGCAGTTGCCAAAATAACAAAAATACTGTTCTAGGCTACATCAAAAGAAGGTACCAAAATCATGGGAAGTGATTGTACCGCTCTATACAGGTAGTCCTTGACTTACGACCACAATTGAGCCCAAAATTTTAGTTGCTAAGCAAGACAGCTGCAACTTTTGCCCCATTTTATGACTTTTCTTGCGACAGTTGCTAAGTGAATCACTGCACTTGTTCAGTTAGTAAAGGTTGTTCAGTGAATCTGGCTTTCACTTTGACTTTGCTTGTCAGAAGGTTGCAAAAGGTGATCACATGACCCCAGGACTCTGCAGCTGCCATAAAGACATGTAAGTTGCCAAGTGAGAGAATTTTGATCACATGATCACGAAGATGCTGCAATGGTTGTAAGTGTGAAAAATAGTCATAAATCACTTTTTTCAGCGCCATTGTAACAGTCGCTAAATGGCTGTTAAGTTAAGGACTTCCTGTATTACACTAATGAAGTCACACTTGAAATACTATATCTGCTTCTGGTCACCATGATACAAAAAAAGATGTAGAAGCCCCTAGAAAAAGTTCAGAGAAGATCAACAAAAATGATATTTTTTCTGGAGGCTAAATTGTACAATAAACAGTTAAGGGAACAAGTATGTCTAGCCTAATGAAGAGAAGGCCTAGCCATCTTCCAGTAGTTGAAGGAAGAGAAGAAAGTGTTGATTTGTTCTCCATAGCACCTGAGAACAGGTGGAACCTCCTCAGAGGGAGAATCAATGTCAAACTAAGGAGGAATTTCCTGACAGTGAAAACAATCAGAGGAACAGTTTGCCTCCCAGAGTTGGGGTGCTCCATTGCTAGAGAGTTTCAAGAGAAAATCAGACAATTATTTGTCCTAGATGGCATAAGACTCCTGCTTTGGGCAGTGGGTTGAATTAGAAGACCTCCAAAGTCTCTTCTAGCCCCCTATAGTTCTATGACATGGAAGACAAAACTAATTTGCGGATGTCTGTAAATGAGTTTTTAAAAGTAAGAATTTTAGAATAATTTAAGTTGCTTAATAATTTTAAGATAATTATAGTACAAGTGAACTTTTATCTTTAGACCATTTTTTCAATTAAAGCAGTCTTTTCTATTCATTTTGTCTCAAAATTGTTCCTATAATATAGGAATATGTTTCTAATGTCAGAGGAAGATAGATAGTAATATTGATTACTTATAAATTGATCACTGTATTTGTATAACAGTTATGGAATTTTTCATTTTAAGTTGTGTGTTTTGTTTTCTAGTGCATATTTTTCAAAAATACAGGTGCTAGCCTTATCCTTCAAGACAAAAAAAAGTAAACTTGCCTGTTTTCATAGTACAGTTCAAGCTTATTGTTTTAACAATCACTCTTTTAAATTGTAGGTAATCATTACCAAATGAGGAGGAAAGGAAGATGTCATCGAGTATCTTCAGCACGGCATTCTTCTTCTCCATGCAGTATTAAACGGTCCCCTACAAGAGAAACCTTAACCTATGCCCAAGCGCAAAGGATGGTAGAAATAGAAATTGAAGGTCGCTTACACCGAATCAGTATCTTTGAACCCTTAGAGATTATATTGGAAGATGATCTTACAGCCCAAGAATTAAGTGAATGCAACAGCAATAAAGAAAATAGTGAGAGGCCACTAATCTGTCTGAGAGCAAAGAGGCACAGAAACAATAAAGTTAAAAAGAAAAGTGAAACTCTTCCAAACACACATAGCATTCCACCCACTGCAAGTACTCTTCCAGAACCAAAAGTGCATGTTGTTGAATATAGCCCACCTTCTGCACCTCGTAGACCTCCGACTTACTATAAATTCATTGAAAAGTCCTCAGAAGAACTAGATAATGAAGTGGAATACGATATGGATGAAGAAGATTATGCATGGTTAGAAATAATCAACGAGAAGCGAAAAAGTGATGGAGTCTCGGTTGTATCACAAAATATGTTTGAATTTCTTATGGACCGTTTTGAAAAAGAGTCTTACTGCGAGACTCAAAAACAGGGTGAACATCAGTCTTTAATTGACGAAGATGCAGTTTGTTGTATTTGCATGGATGGAGAATGTCAGAACAGCAATGTGATTCTTTTTTGTGACATGTGTAATTTAGCTGTGCATCAGGAGTGTTACGGGGTGCCATATATACCTGAGGGCCAGTGGCTTTGCAGACAATGTCTGCAATCCCGTTCAAGGCCTGTAGACTGTGTATTGTGTCCAAACAAAGGAGGTGCCTTTAAAAAGACTGACGACGATCGGTGGGGACATGTTGTGTGTGCTCTTTGGATTCCAGAGGTTGGATTTGCCAATACAGTTTTTATTGAGCCAATAGATGGAGTCAAAAACATTCCCCCTGCCCGATGGAAGTTAACATGCTACCTCTGTAAACAGAAAGGTGTTGGTGCCTGTATTCAGTGCCACAAAGCAAACTGTTACACAGCATTCCATGTTACATGCGCTCAAAAAGCTGGTTTGTATATGAAAATGGAACCCGTGAAAGAATTAACTGGTGGAGGCACAACATTCTCAGTGAAAAAAACTGCATATTGTGATATACATACACCACCAGGATCTGTTCGGAGGCCTCTGAATATTTATGGAGAAACTGAAATGAAAAATGGCCTCTACCGAAAGGAGGGCATGGCCAAAACCAGGTCTACATCAAGGTTCAGAAAAAAAGCTAAAAAGTCAAAGAAAACACTAACTGAAACATGTGCAGTTATGCCTGCAGTATCTGCTCCCTGTATCCCTCCCCAGAGGTAAGAAAATATTTTTTTTTTAAATTTTTTTTGCAGTTGTTAGTGTTACCAACGTATTAATGAGGAGCAAAAATTAATGCTTAATGGGCTTTTTCAGGACAAGATACACTAAAGGTCCCAGATCCTTAACAATTAAAGGAAATGAGAAATGGTCATTCTCTTAGATCTTACTTTAGCAATAAATTTCAGTCATAAATGGTTTTCATTTGTTTTCCTTGTGTTGATTTGGAATAGGTAAGCCTGATGACTAATTGAGAATGACTGCTAGATATGTATTAGGGCTATGCAGTGTTTATGTTTCAAAGGCAGAAAGTTGCCCTGGAGTATGTGGATTTGCATATGTAGCGCCTGTCTGTAACTCATTAAAATAAAGATTTTTCTTTGGATAATGCTGCAGCTGCAAAGAATAGCTACATGATCCTGGGAAACAATCCAGCTCTTTAAGGAGTTGCGGTGTGAGTGCCCAATCATGCTCCAGAGCATCTTTTTGCCTTTGAATCTGAAGCTATGCAAGCCAGAGGTAGGAACATAATCCCGTCCTGTTGTTGTTTCTTTTCATCTGGTATTTGAAGGCATGTTATTTCCAATCTGGAAGTAGCACTGTCTTTTCAAGACTTAAAAGCCTTGATAGACCTGTTCTTCATGCCTTTATCCTCTCTTGTTTTAATACCATCCAAATGAGTGACCGTAATCACGTCTGGTAGTAATGAATTTCACAAGTTAATTATATATAGTGTGAGAGGAAGTATTTTCTTTTCTACTAAATTTTCTTTCAGTCAGCTTAGTAGAACTGATCCTAATCCTAATGTTTTGATACTTCCTTGTCCATATTTAGTATTCCATGAAAGAAATTATGCATACTTTGATTATGTCACTGTTCAGCTGCCTGTTCCAGCTATTTGGAATTATTCAATTTTGTTTAATAAACTATATGGTGAAGCATTACATGTTTTCTTCTGTATAATTGATTTTAGTAGTACGCTGCTTTCAAAAACACATTTTTGAACAAGAGTTCCTTCAGTCTTAAAGTGACTGCAAAAGGATATCAGTTTTTGAGGTATTACTCAAGTTGCAGACATATCTTATGGAGAAAGAAGGGAGTTATATTGCATTTTGTGTGCTTGCTAAGAATTTTGTCCTTTACATATTTTGCAATACAGCTTCCATAATCCTATCATTGGCATTGCATAGTCTGGCTATTTGGAAAACAAATATTGTTTGTTCTTATTGTGTCTTATATCTTAAATATACCAAACATTTTAACTCTTCAAACTTCCAAAATGTATCTAGAACTTAAGTGAACTTCAAGTACAAGCTTATAAGCTATGAAACAGACAATTTTAGCTAATGTACTTTATTCCTTGTCCATGACTTATATTTAAGCAAAACAAATAAATTATTTCTGTAGTTTATTTAGCTTGATACTTGAACAGATATCTATAGTTTTTTCCCTTTCCGGCAGGCCACACTTTGAAGTTAGGAATAAGCTATGCAGAACTACAGTACATTATGATATTCATTCCTTGATTTCTAACAATTTTCAGATTATATTTAACAACAGTAACTTCAGAACATTTTTCTGTATATATGTGTTCTGGATAATTTAATATTAAGAATTTAAGTATATTTTAAAAAGTTTATGAAACTATGAAATGATAATGATTAATATGAATATGTCAGGCAGCTCTGACTTAAAGTGTGTTAAAATAAAACAGTCTTGTACTTTCACATTACAAATTTATAAAATTCTTTCAGTTGGAATACACTTCAGCAGGAGCAAGGCTTGTTATTTTAAATGTTATTTAGAATGTTCTCCTGTTGAAAATTTCCATTCTGAATGTCCTGGACTAATAAGGAAGACTTTCAAGCTAAAATATTATAATTGTACTGTTTCTCAAAAATGAAGATAATTTGTAATCTACTTTTTTAAAAAAAACTGTCCTTCCTATATTCTAAGATAAATATTGCTGAGGACTTAATATGTATCTGTAGACAGTGTTAAATTATTAAACCCAGTGAAACTAAGAAGGGATATAGGGTTTCACAATGCATTATAATAAGAGATTGGAGGAGCAAATACACTTTATTCTGGTAGCCAAGTTTCCTCTAGACTGGAATTCTCAATATCATATTAAATTAATGGAAAATGCTCACCCTTCACAAATAGCATGAGTTATTATTTGGGGAACCGTACTCTGAAGAGGGGAGATGGATGGATGGTTAGGTCTTTTTTCATTTATTTACACAAGTGTATAAAGCCTATTTCTTATAGTGTGTTTTAATATCAGTTTCTAGTATTCATCTATAATTATCTCTGCTCCCAGTTTGTGTTTTCATTGTATCTTCTTTTTGCAAATAGAATACTTTATTAGCTAATTCAGTTTATACTGAGAAATAATGGCAGGAAAATGGTGCACCTGTTAGTACTTAGATGAAGCAAATAAGATTGGAATAATAATAGAACTAGAGGATATATCAAGCTAGATAGCCAATTGCATAACTCATCTATCAGTTGAAAATTAATCTCTAGGACGGGGTCTTCAAACTTGATAGTTTAAGACTTGTGAACGTCAACTCCCAGAATTTTTCCTCCAGTCATGTTAGCTCAGAATTCTGGGAGTTGAAGTCCACAAGTCTTAAACTTGCCAAGTTTGAAGCCCCTTGCTCTAGGAGGTCAAGAAGATGCTATAAAGGTTTCATGAATTAAAGTGACTTGATGGGTGATATAGGCACCATACAAATCTAATAAATAAATAATAAAAGTGACTGACAAATATGTATGAACCTGTGGTCTATTAAATCTTTCAAAAATAAATGAATTTAATTGATTTAAGTATTGTGAACTTTTATGCAGATCTGCATTATCTAATGGTAATAAAGTAAAAAAATCAGTCAATACACTTGTAATGAAATGTATCATTTATTTATTGAAGGTTTTTTAAGTGTTTAAGTGTTGAGAGTTTGTTTAGTAATCTTTCTCTGAAATGTTAAATAATTAATAAAATATGTAATGAATATATAGTGATGTGCTGCAGATAGATAGATAGATAGATGATAGATAGATAGATAGATAGATAGATAGATAGATAGATAGATAGAGATAGATAGAGATAGATAGATAGATAGATAGATAGATAGATAGATAGATAGATAGATAGATATTCATATCCATATTCATTTACTCACTGGAGGTTTTTGAATACATGAATTGGTTAGAGTTTGTTTTGTAAACTTTCTCTGTAGATCTGAGTAAATACTCTAAAGTACAAAAGAATTAAATAATGTGATATATCAGATTTTGTAGTTTCTGTGTAACTGATAATAGTATTCTAAACTTAAATAATAGTAACTACATGCCAAAAATATTACTATATGTTTGTTTAGCATTCTTCTTTAATATACGATAAATCTTTTAAACCCAAAGGGATTTCTACTAATAATTTGTGACACAAGTATCCAATATTAGAAAAATAATTGAAAAAAAGTGTCTTTGTTCAAAGTTGTTCTTTGGATACAGAACCATGTGAAGATATATAGTAGAATAGTTCTGAAACAATACAATCTAGTTAGATTTATAATTAAAATATGTTTAGTGTTTTATTTCAAAATATTGCTATTTCTTTCTTTCCTGTTTCAGATTAAATAAAATTATGAATCAGGTGGCAATTCAGCGAAAGAAGCAATTTGTAGAAAGAGTCCATAGTTATTGGCTACTTAAAAGATTGTCCAGAAATGGTGTTCCTTTATTGAGAAGACTACAGTCCAGCCTGCAGTCACAAAGAAACACACAACAGGTACCTTTATTTCCTTACTTCATATATTTGGCATATTTGAGTTAATAATATATGGGTACAATTATCCAAGACCACTGTAATTAAGAATAATATAAATTATGTGAATGCTTATATTTTATACAAGGAGTAAAATATGTGCATTAAATTAAGTGTAAATACAAAATTGAGATGCTGTGTTTTACATGAAGAAAAAGCATTGCACATAATTTTGTACTATGGGCAAAACGTACTAACAGTTGCTTTTGCAATAGAGTTATTAGCTACTTAATATTTCAATTAAACTAACAAATACATGATTTTTTTTTTCTTTCTTAAGAGGGAAGATGATGAAGAAACACAAGCCTTAAAAGAGAAATTGAAGTACTGGCAAAGACTCCGTCATGATCTTGAAAGAGCACGGTTGTTGATAGAGCTTATACGAAAACGAGAAAAATTAAAAAGAGAACAGGTATATAAAGCTGTTGACGATTTTGTGTGAGTTTACATACCTTAAGTTTCACTTGGCAGTGAATGGAAATGATAGGGCTGTTCTTCCTGTAATGGGAGAGATTTTATTTTTCCTTTTACAAAATATCTACAGCAATAGCAAGCACCATAGTGAGAATTATCATCATATCCTCCAGGATGGTAGAAGGAAAGGATAGAAATATTGGTTCATGTTTAATCACTTTCCAGAAATAATTGCTCGTGTGTTCTTGCACTGCCCCTTTTACCATTTCTGGCAAGTCCAAGATTATAACTCTTATTTAAGTGCTTAGGCTGGCCATAGCAAGAAGTAGTATTTTTTTCTATTAACAGATACAAAGTCAGTTGATACCTTTGTGAAAGTAGGCTAATTTTGCTCATTCCATAAAGAATCAAGACTACTTTTTTAATGTATTTTTTTCTTTTCTCTTTATATTGTATCTAATTACTGTACTTTTCTAAAGGAACAACTCCATTAGAGAAAGGCTGTTTTCTTTTGCATTTCTGAAACAATTAGAATATTCATAAAACATAATTTGTAATTTTAAGGTTTGGAGCTATAGAAAAACAAAAATCTTTTCCCTGACTGTAGCAATTTGAAAAGTGTCTGTATAATTTATCTAGGTTTTCCAATCACTTTGCCCCATGTCTTCTTATACAGCAAATATACTGCTATGATACTCATTCTGGCCAAATACAAGTCCAAGAAGTACTTCTACAGAGTTGCTCAGATAGGCTAGCAGGCTCAGTTTACATGTGTTTTGTGAGCTATATTTCTCTTTACCAGTGTCTGTACAGAGTTTCCAATTACTGTGAACTTACTAGTTGGAAAGAAATAGGTGAATTGTTCATTTTATTGTGGAGAGAATTTGATAAATATATAATCTCCCAAAAATTAGCTTGAACATTGTTGTTAAAACTGATTAAATTGTAAATAAAAAATAGGCAAATTATTGTGGCAGCATTATTTTCTAATAATCAGCATCCTTTTGGTCTTAAAAATAGCACAGAATTCTTTTTTCAGAAATCCATTTATTATTTCTATCTGTGTTGATGTCTGAACAGTTCTATGTTTTTAGTCTCATTCAAATTCTGAATCTAAATCTAACAGTCTGAAGAGTACTTATGTAAAACAAATGCTGTAACCTTACCTTCCCCTTCAACAAAGTTTTGGAAATGAATAAAAAACTATTCAAACTATTCAGAAAAAGGTAACTTACAAGATAAGATAACATTTATACACATATGCTTTATTTATACATTACACACATGTATACATTAGTCACAGTCCATCTTGAATACAAAGCAAAAAAAGAGTCTTGAAAGTTAACAAAATTGATACTATATGGTACAAAGCTATTAAGAGCCTTGGTATCGCAGTGGTTAGAATGCAGTATTGCAGGGTAAGATTGCTCACATTGCCAGGAGTTTGATTCCCTCAATCCTGACCGTCTCAAGGTTTACTCGGCCTTCAGTCTTTCTGAGGTCAGTAAAATGTGGACCCAGATTGTTGGGGGCAATATACTGATTCTGTAAACTGCTGTGAAGCACTATATAAGTCTTACGTGCTATTGCTATTACAGAATTTGTTGTTCTACTTCAGAGAAATGAAGCCTCCTCCCAGAAGGTAATAAAGAAAACTGGTCATGGAGAGGATGTGTAGCATCTCTGACAATATTGCAGACTCTGGTTAAGCATTGCTTATATGCTGTGTCCTAGGTAGTAGAAAGTGAACTTCCAAGTAATCTTTTCTGCCATCCTTACCACTCTCTGAATAGCCTTCCTGTCCGAAGCAGTAATACTTCCAAACTAAACAGTAATACAATATAAAAGTAAGCTTTGAATTTGTCCTTCTACAGAAAGTGGTAAGGAAGATATGCTCTTCTCAAATGACACAGAAAATGCAGGCACTGCCATGCCCAGTTCATTAGTGTCTTGTTGTTGAGCAACCATACTAACCTACTCATTTAGCTGCACTATAAATTGCAGTTCATTTTCCTATTTTTCTTTAAACTTTTTGTTTTCCCCTTTTCACTCTTTATTTTTACCCATAACCCAGCTTCTTTCATGATTTTCAAAGATGTTGAGAGTGCTGTCTTTTAAAAAGAAAAAAAATGATTCTAATTTAGCATAGTTAGAACAAGTGCAGGTTACATGATTGGGCTGTTTGGTCCAAAAGGAATGAGAATTATGACTGATGTGTGTCTGTTTATAAAAGGTCATCTCTTTTGAATTTGTGTTTGAATCATTAGTCTTTTATACATATGCATGGGAAAGAAATGAGTATAAGTATAAATTACATGAATGATTTTTAATGAAATGTTAAGAGAATTAATGAAAAATGCAAGGATGATGAAAAGTTTTGAATGTAGAAAGACCATTTTGTATGTATTTGTGTGTCAAAACTGGATTTTGTGGGAAAAGGGACAGAAGAAAAGGAAATAAGTAAAGAAGCAAAAATGGAAATAAATTATTGCAGGAAGAAAAAGTATGTATCATGTATAAAAAGCATTAGAAACCTGTGTAATCTGCAAACAGGATGAATGGAAAATGGACATAAGGAAAGAAGTTATAGAAACTACTTGATGCAGAGTGAAAAGAAATATGGTACCATAGAAGTATATGGAGATGCTGGTAAAAATATGAAAAAGTATAATAGATAGATGAAGAAGCTATGGATGAGAGAAAGCAGCATGCATAAGTAATGCTTATGTAGTAGAGTCAAGAAATTACAAAGAATTTAATCAAGGAAGGGAAAGAATTATTAAGAATTAAAGAGGCAAAAGAAATGTAGGAAAGTAAACATAAAAGATAAATCATAAGTGCTGTGAAAATGTTTAAAAGTTTTAAGGTTGCAAGTATGGATATACAATTGGAGAAATACTAAATGCTAGTACAGTTTGCTTAATGGATGTCTATGCAATATATTCAACAGGCATGTGATGATTTCATTTCTTCCTGACACTTGAAAGAATACCATTACTATTCACTTGTACAAATGGAACTATAATGAATAAATTCAGAAGTATAGGGGTCTTAGTAAGAGTTCTTGGAATAGTGCTGGGCAGAATTCTGAACAGAAAGGTAGGAGACGGAGATGACAATGAACAAGCATACAAAGTACAGCATTATTTATGCCAGGCAGGGTACATGCAATCAGATTTTTGCATTCAGGAAATCACCGAGAAATCTATATATATAGAAGCAAAAAAGCACTCATGCGTCATCACAAAATCTCCAGAACTATAAAGTCTACAAACTTGAAATTTGGCACGTATGTTCCTCTTGGCTTCTAGGTGCTCACTAAGAAAGGATTTTTCAAAATGACCATCAGAGCATTAGTATTTTGTATATTATTACTAATACACTCTGATGCTAAGGAGTTCTACTCTCCCTCCCCACCTGAAAAGAAATCTCTTCCAAATGCAAAACACAAGCAGAAGAGAGGAGTTTCAGTTTCAGATTTACTTTCACAGCAGCAAACAGCTTTACTACAGAACAGTTGAGGTAAGCCATGCCCAAGCTCCTTGCTCCCTTGCTCACAAAGCAAAGACTGTTTGGGTTTCAAAACACCTCTCAATTCTCACACACTGACAGGATGCTAGCCAGATGAATACCGATGGATGCTGGTAGGAAGAGGCACGTTTTTTTCCCCTTATTTTCCTTCCTAAAAACTTGCCCGATCATATAGTTTTGTAGTGAACCACGAGCACCCTGCTAGTATGTGACTATGACAGAGATGATTGTGTGTTCGTTAATTCAGGAAAAGCATATAAAGTAACTAGACTTGAATTTTGAGATGTTTGCCCATATATGGAAATGCAGGTTGGTGGCTAAATGAAGTAAGAGCAGTATATGGTGGATGTACAGTTTGCATGTAGATCAGGGGTGTCAAGCTCAATTTCATTGAGGGGTTGTGTTTGACCTTGGGGGGGGGGAGCTGGGGTGGGTGTGGCCAGGCTGGCTCGATGTCACTCGTTGAGGGTGCAGGTGGTGGCCCGAGTACTCTGATAGTGAAAACGGGCTTCCGAGCTCCGTTTTCAGCTGCAACAGCCTCCTGCAATCCTCTGCCACCGAAAACAGAGCTCGTGAGGGCCACACACGACTCCCCAAAGCTCTGTTTTCTCTGGCAGAGGCACTGTGGGCCAGTCCTTGGCTGTTTCCAGGGCAGCCCCATGGGCCATATTTAAACACTTCACAGTCTGGATTCGGTCCACGGGGCCTTGAGTTTGACACCCCTAATGTAGATACAGTAAATAGGATGATTAGTAAATAATTTAACATTGAACCAAGGATCTGTAATGTTCCCTGGTTGTTTGTTTATAAATGCATAAAAATATTTTGATGATTTAATTAGAGATATTCTGGTTTTAGGAAATGAATGTATGTGTACTTTTGTATGCAGACAAGGTGCGGTATTGATTAAAACCTGAATGATCTTTAGCAAAAGTTAGATTGTGTAAAGCATTGATCTGAAAAACCAATTGAAAAGCAAAATAGCTGCATTTGATATGGAAAATGCTATTAAAATTACACATACATAGTGGAAAACTAGAGCAATTAGAGGAATTTATGTATCTTGGTAAAATTTACCAAGCGAGAAAACAGATGAAAAAATCTTAAAACATGAAAATGTTAATAAAAATTATTAGTTTGTTATGAGGAATAATATTAAAAGAATATGAAATTAATATAAGAGTGTGCTTCTGTCCATTGTATTAGAAAAGGAGAATTGGGTATGGCTTAAAAGAGAAGCTGAATAGTATGTTGAATGAATAGAAATAGATTACTTAGGTGTGTGTCTGGTAAACCAAAACTAGATAAAATTAACAATGAAAGTATTTAATTAACATAAATTGAAAACAAAAGTGAGTGATCAGTACAAAAGAAATATATTGAGATGATTTGGTTATATAAAGAGTGAATAAAGGTCATATTGTTAGCTAACTACAAATGTCCACATAAGTGACCGTAATTGGAACCAGCAACTCAGTCATTAACAAAGTGGTAATTAAGTAAAAAACACATGACCACAACTGTTGTTAGGATTTTATTTCAATTTTCCTTTGCTATATAGCATCAAAAGGATAGAAACCTAAATGGCCACGTCAGCTAAATATAGCCAGGAAGGCTTTCAGAACTAACCTCGTAAATAAGTTTTACTCAACAAGTAAAAAGGAAAAAATCTTACAGCATCTTTTCCCCACTCCCCACCCTTTGGAATGCTTACTGCAATGCTGTGATAATTAGCAAAAATAGAATTAATGTTTGTATTTACATTCATTGGAGAGGATTGAATTAGAAGACAGCAAGGAATACACATGGAAACTAAGCAACTAGGACACATTAGGTCCCTAGGAAACCTAACAAAAGCCTTTAGTGTGAAACTGATTAATTGTTAATTTTAGGCAGTTGCTGCCAACCAGTTAAGGAAGTTAGTATTTTTAGGGATGCGCTGTATTGTCAGGTTGTGATAGCTTGTTTAAGTGATCTGTCTATTCTTGGGGGGGGGGGGGGGGGATGGGTAAGGCACAGAACAATGTGTACTAACTGACAGTAATGGTAAATGTGAAAAATGCTGTGAAAATCTAAATGTAGGCAATGATTGCAAAGCTACTTTTGCATCACCATCATAACTATAATGCTTGGTTCACGTCTAAAGCAGTTGTTATACAGAAACTATTTGTAATTAAGAATGTGAATTAGCTGAGAGATAGGGGAAGTAGAAGTCATGGTTGGCTGGAATTAATAAGCTCTTCAAGAAGGTCAGAAGTAAGTTTAAAAAACAAAAACTGGACCTAGTAGATTCAGGGAGGGTTTGCAAATTTATTAAAATATGAGGAAGTATACTTATGTTGGTATTTCTTTGGCTAATTATTTCTTATTTCCTTTCTATATTTTGCATAATGTTGCTTACCCCAACAATAGTGTTTTCCACTACTGCAACTATAGGGATTCACTCTTGCATATGAGTGGTACAACATAAAAGATTGCTACTTAGAGAATTAAGTTTGCTTTAATATATATATTTCTAATGAAGTTGAATTTTGGTTAAGCTTAATAAATATTTTTAATAATCTATTTTCAAAGAAAGAAGGAAAGAATCATTCTTTGATCAATATGTACTATATATTAATGATGCCTGTATCATCATATCTGCTAAATCATTTATTTTTTAAAAAAAATTGTAGAAAAACATAATTATTTGCTGGGAAAGAACGGGAAATCTGAATATTCAATATATAATTACTATTGCATGGTTATTTTTTTGTTATGTTTCAGAATTGATAGCTTTAAAAATCAAACTAAAAAAAATAGATTCTCTCCTTTTTAATCAATACCAAGATTAAGTAGGGTGACGTTTACAAATCTTTTAAGAGAGCATTATAGTTACATGTCAGATGTACTCCTACATGTCAGTTTGCCTCTTACCAGGTTTAACAATCTTTATTCGTAAACGCCACAGTTGAATTTGTTAAATGATCAAGTACATTACAATGCATGTAATTAAATCCAAACTGACCAAGTAAATGTAAAATAAATAATTTCTGCAATTAATTCATGTTATCTATTTTCTTGTGCTATTATAAAATTATGCACATATGCATATTCCTTCTGCCTATAACTTCATTGTGAAAGTATTATTACAATGGTAGAATTTATCACTATGTGTAGTTTTAATAGGTTTGAGCTTTAATCTTGATTTATTATAGCAGCAAAGTAGCCAGTGATTGTATTTTGATGATAAGATAGATTATAATTGTCCTTCATTGTGCAGATCAAAGTGGAACAGGTTGCCATGGAGCTTCAACTGACTCCATTTACTGTATTAATGCGTTCAGTACTGGACCAGCTACAAGAAAAGGATTCTACTCGTATATTTGCTCAACCAGTGAATCTTAAAGAGGTAAAATTAAACATTTCTGATATACCGAAGAATTCATTGATGCAGTAAAATATAACAGACATAACATCTGTCATTGTTTTGACTGTAAAAAAGTTTAATAAAATACAATTTAACTACATTAAATTTAGAAAGAGAAAAGCTAAATTGTTTCAATAGCTACTTAAATTCTGAAGGTATATAAATCTAAGATTAATATTTTGAATACATAGTTCTGGATTATTTGACTTAAATGTTTTTAAAAATAATTTTACTAAAGATTTATAATATCAATATCTAATTCAAACCTAGAAAAATAAACAGAAAAAAATAGAAGGTGAAGAAAAGAAAAAAGAAAAGTAAAAAAAATAAAAATTAAATGAAAGAAAAATAAGAATTGTATATTGCATTACGGTGTGGTATGCTGGCTTGACAGCCGCAGACAGAAAGACACTACAGAGGGTGGTGAGCACAGTACAAAACATCGTGGGCTATTCCCTGATACCACTGGATGACATCGCTAGGGCTCGCTGCCTTAGAAGAGTGAGGAACATTCTCAGGGACGACTCACACCCCCAGTGAGCACTTCTTCACTCTCCTACCATTGGGTAGGAGATATAGAAGCATAGCCAGCCGCAACAACAGGTTGAAGAACAGTTTCTACCCGTGGCCTGTCAGACTTCTGAATGGAAAATAACTTGATGTCAACATAGTATGACAAACTTCTGGGGCTGGCACGTTGTACAACACGATCACATAGGGTAATAAGATTGGGTCTGGGTTAGGGACTTCTGTCCACACTGTGAGTTAGGGAAGGGGGTGCATGAAGGGAGGGTCAGCTAATCTCAGTGTACATATGTTGTGCTCTGACAATAAAGGTAATAATAAGAATATCGTAAAGAAAAAGAAAAAAATGTATAAAGAAATGACTTCCCCCTTCATCACAGTATAATTTTTTTTAATAACCTTGCCTTCTTTTAAAATACAACAAATAGTCTCTTCCATATCCCATCTCTTATCTATAACAAATTCATAAAATATAGTCATAGCTGTCCTGATTTCAGCAAAAGTCCATTAAGGGTTAACCACAGATAATCACATATCTATTTGAATAGTCTTAATCAAATAAAGTAACTTTATATTCATTCCATTTACTGCTGTCTTGTTCTTAATCCAATCCCTTCAAATAATATTTTGTTCCATTTTTTTCTTTGTCCCTTCTCATACCATTCTTCAAAGTTTCAACAAGCCTTTTTTTGGTAAATTCATTATAGGAAAATTATCAAGGTCACTCTATTGGCTTTTATCTGTTTTTATTATTATTTTTTATTATTAAGACAATAGTTCACTTCTTTTGCATGTTCAGTGTGACATTTTTTTCCACGTCATTCCTGTAACATAATTTTTAAATTCATTTTCAAATCAGTCTCAATCCTGTCAGGTAATACTTGATTCTTTTCTGTAGCATTTTTAAACATAGTCCATCTATAGAGGAAGACACACTTAAAATTAAACTTCTGGGTCCATTGTTGAAAAACATCCTTCAGTATGTTTTAAAAGATTTTGCTTCGTTCACTGTTAGTAAGTCAGGTTGTGTGTTCTCCAATTGTAATCTTTAGTTTTGTTTACTTTTATCTACAAATAGTCCTGGACTAAGGACTACAATTGGGAAAAGAATTTCAGGCATTATGATTGTAAGTCATGATTGTAAGTCAAGTCGGACCTGATTTTATGATCATAATTATGGTCATTTAGTGAATTATCATGGTTATTTAAGCAAAGCTGCAGTTGAAGTAAACTCCATAATCATAACTGCAAGCCTATTCTTGTGAAATTCTCCTGAAAACAGCAGAAAAGCCATCAGTTACAATAGCATGATCTTAGGACACTGCGATCAATCATAAATGAGATGGTTGCCAAGCCCCAAATTGCATCATGTGAACATAGAGGTTTTGCAATGGTTATAGGTGTGAGGATTGGTTGTAAGTGCATGGACCAGACTTTTTTCAGCACCGTGATTACTTTGAACAATCACTAAACAAACAGTTGCAATCCAGGATTTTTTTAAAAAAATCTTATCTTGCGCTTTTTTAAGAGTTCAAAACAATTTTCGCACAGGAAAGATTCCTTATAATTAATTCCAAAATCTTATTTTGAATTTATATGGATTGTTAATCCATTTACAGCTTTCTAACATCAAAGATTCACAGTCCTCATGACCAGCATTGAGATTTGAAGCTTCATCGCTAAGTGATACAATTGTTAAGTGAATGCTGCCCAATTTTTTGCCATAATTCATAAAGGGATCATCATTGTTAAGCAAGTGATATAATTGTTAAGTGAATCTGGCTTTCCCATTGATTTTGCTTATTGTAAGCTCTCTTGGAAGGTTGCAAATGGTGATCACACGATCCTGGGAACCGTTGTCAATACACGCTGGTTTCCAAGCAGTCAAATTTCAATCATTTGACCATGAAAGCTGCAACAGTCATAAGTGCGAGAACCAGTCATTAATCAGTTTTTTTTTCAGTCCCATTCCATCTTTGAACAGTCATTACATGAATGATCATAAATTGAGGGTTACCCGTAATCACCCTTTTGCTTCTTATTCCAGAAAAAAAAATTAAATCCTTAAATTTATATTTGAAACTTCTTTCACTAAGGATTAAAGGTAACTCAGCGTTACAAAATCCAAAGGTTTCTAATAGCTTAAAACTAGTTAACAAAAAGTTTCCAAAAATGATTTTAAGACATATGCAAACCCAGTATTCTTTTGAGGCACCAAAGCCGTGGTTTGAGCAAGATGACTATTCCTTTATCTCCCAGAGTTCTAAACCCACCAGGGTCTGCTATCTCATGGTTCCCTTGTGAGGAACAACTGTTTCAAACACCTGTGAGTGATTTCAATTCCACTCCTTGTCTGGAGACAAATTACAAAGAAGGCAGTCTACTCGCTGACTTTTCATTCCGCTATGGTTATTTGCTTCACTTCAAACCAAGTTGCTTTGTTCACCATTTCTTCCTTGGAAATCCAGGCTTAAATGTTAAAATAACTTAATTAGGTTAAACTCACTTTGAAACAAAACAGATGCATTTAAATATAGGATGCTTCGAATAAGATGCAAGAGTCAAGTTCTAAATGTCAAAAAAATGTAAATTAAAATCAGGCCATTTTGGTTTTTCTTAATATTTTCTAATAATCAATTGCAGCTTTTCAAAACAATATTTTGAATTTCAGTTATATTATTCAAAGTGCATATAAGAATATTCTATGGATAGAACTGGTGGTTTTGCACAGCCTATGTTCAGACTGAAACAAACATGTTCGGACACGGACTGTTGTCCAGAATGTTGACAGTAGAAAAAAGAGAGGTCAGTGGAATGATGTAGCATGCAAAGTCTAAGGGAAGAAAGGGAAAGCATTGGGATGATTGTGGGAAAGTGGGCTGGCTACTTGGACACGAGTGGCACTAGGAGTGCTATTCAGGTAGTAACACTCAACAAAAAGAAGCAAAGAAAAGGAAATCATGGGATTATTGGGAAGTGTTGCTGATCAGTTAAATATTCGCTCCTGGAATTTAAATGACAGAGAAGGAATGGCAACATGCAGCTAAGGAGGAGGGAAGATTGGAGTAAGATGGTCAGACAAGACATGCAATAAGTACAAAATGTAGCAGCCTTGTTCTATTTATCCTATAAGACCCCTCCAGATTTCTCTTGGTAAAAACCAGAATGATTAACATCTTGCAGGGTTGGTTGATTCATCTGAATTGAAACTACAACATCCCACTCCCCACCCCACGCCTGTACTAAAATGGTGTAACTTCTGAGCTACAGTGTGTTCAGTGCATGGAACAAATACATGTTTGGTTTCATGCATTCCCGTAATTATCTATCCATACATCCTATCTACATGTCTTATATTTAAAATCTGTATTTCAGGTTCCTGATTATTTGGATCACATCAAACATCCCATGGATTTTTCTACTATGAGAAAACGGTTAGATGGCCAAGGTTATAAAAATATCGATGAGTTTGAAGAAGATTTCAACCTTATTATTGAGAACTGTCTGAAGTACAATGCAAAAGACACAATATTCTACAGGGCTGCGGTGCGGTTAAGAGATCAAGGAGGTGTTGTTTTAAGACAAGCTAGAAGAGATGCTGAAGCAATTGGATATAATAATGAAACTGGAATGCACTTACCTGAACGGCCGAAACTTGAATCTCCTCCACCTTTTACCTGGGAAGATGGTAAGGAGATAAATGTCAACTATTGCAGCAATATTTTCATGTCTTTGTTATTATTTTTGCATGTATATTCTACACAGTAAGTGAACACTTTCAGGCATGTTCTTCTACATTCTTAGGCAATAGTTGTACATAATTAACTCTACATAAAAACAATCCTGTACCATAAATTGTTTTAAAATTAGTTCTGCATTTAAAATTGAAGGGTGATGTGGATGGATTATTATTAATTAGAAAAAAGGAAAATATGAGACACTATTTGAAGTATCTCTATGTTGTATTATGTGCTTTTGAACTGCTGCTTGGAAGAGACTATTTGCTATCTATTTCCCTTCCTATTGTTTCTTCCCAAATTGTCATCTTTATATTTATTTACTGTTCTTTCTGTTGGAAGATAATGTCTCTATATATCCCAAACTGGTTTGTATGTGTGAGAGAGAATGATTGGTGTAAGCAGGTGTGCATCAATTAATGTTATAAATGGAAGAGTATCTTATTTTACATATATTTTTAATTAATAGCTTTTAATCACATCATATATTTATTGGGCAAGCAATAGGATTGCACTAGATTTTTCTAATACAGAGTTGCTAAACCTAAATTCACAAGGCAGGGAAGGTGAGTTTTCCAGAGGAATTTTTCTTTGCTGTAAATTCTTTCCTTAAATTTAATATTATATTTAGTATTACATTTATCCTTTCAGAAAATATGGTTTGTTTACTAGGACTGCTATAGTAACAATTTTTCAGTTACTTTACGTGATGTTTCAAGAAAAAAACATTCTTTTGTTTAAGGCTCAACAGTCAAACCTTGGATCTTATCTTTGTACTGTTTATACAATTAATATGAATTTCTACTTGAATACTAGTGGAAAACAAAAGCATAATGGCAGCTCACACTAATACATTTTAGTAGACTTGTAAAGAATTAGTGATTGCCTAATTCATCTTACATTATTCCACTAGTCCTTTCTCAGTAAATAAATTATGTTTTGCATCATGTAAGTAAGTGCCTCCCCAAGATTTTAAGTGTTCATAATTTTTGGAATAAAGTTGAACTTAATTCAGGGCTGTATTAGATATAAATGTCTCTTCCAGAAATTAATTGTACTTTCTTTTAATAGACTGGATGGAGGCCTTTATTGCTATAGAGCTTTGTACTATGAAAATAAAATGAAATGGTCTTTGCTTGAGGCTGCTTTGTGTCTTGGATAATCATGGATATATATATAGCCTGTGTGCTCTAACACCATGTGACACATGTTGAAAACATTGAAGTAATACTTTGAGATACAAGAATCAAACTGCATGAGTGATACAGAAAGTCATTTTTGGCTGCTTAAAATTAAAAGCTTTGATTTGAACATTAACTTTAAGGCAGAGGTTAGATTGACCAGTTCTTACCTTGCAATGGAGTAAGTGGCAACTATTTGTGCTGTGCTTCAGGAGTAAAAATATTATGTGCAATGTGGTTTTTGTCTGTGAATTGGATTTGAAAAAGTGATGCTCTCATTGGTAGTAGTATACTCCATATTGGATTGCTGCTGGAAGAATGAATTTTATAGCAATCAATATATCAAGTTTATGTTTTAAGTTAATTGATTGCCAGATGAAATCATAGTTACCTATCGAGTGGCAGTATTATCTGTTCTTAAGGTGCCAAGAATTGAATCTGAAATGTATGCCACCCAGCTTTTTATGCCAGCAAAATCATTCAACAAAGGCATAAGGAGATTTAATGTTTTATAATAATAACTAGGATAAAACTTCAGGTATTAACATGGGATGATGTTTAGTGTTTGCAGCGTAAGTCAATTGAAATAGCAACCTAATAGCTTTGGTTTTATTGATTATCATTGTGCAGCAGAGTCATGCTGTTCCTCATACTATAGAAAAGTATTGTAAATGCCTATGTTTCAATTCAGTGGATAGGTTACTGAATCCTGCCAACAGAGTGCACATGTCTTTGGAAGAGCAGCTGAAAGAATTGTTGGAAAAACTTGATCTCACTTGTGCAATGAAATCCAGCGGGTCTCGGAGCAAACGAGCAAAGCTTCTAAAAAAGGAAATTAACTTGATTCGCAGCAAGATAAGTCAGCAACATCATCAGTCCCCTCAAATTGAATCAGGTATTGGAAGTTTTGAAGAAGAAAATGCGGTAGTGGAACACGAAAGTGAAGAAGAAGGTAAGAGACATCTTGATTTAAATCATAATAGTACATTCAGTGGGAGAAGGTTGGGGGTGGATAGAAGAGCTAATTTACTATTAGCTGTAAAGTTTTAGAAGTCCAAAACAGTTCTAAATAGGAGCATAAGGGGTATGTTTTGTTACTAAATAAATATACCGGTAGCTTGAAATGATCTGTTTTTCTGTTTTTCCTTATCCAGAATCAAACAGTATATTTAAATGGTAAATTCTGAACCCATGAGAAGAAATATTCTTCTTTCCCCGTATTGTTTTTAGGGGAGGGGAATGGAGATTTTAGAAATATTTTAGTGGTCACTATTAATACCTAAATTAACTTTTAATGCTTTATCATAAATTTGTTGATGCATTTAATAAACTTGCAGAGCAACTCCATGCATTTTTATTCAAAATAAAAATATGTTCTCTTTTGTAGAGATTACTCTCAGGTAATATATGTAAGAGTGCAGTTTCCAAAATGTTAGTTTTCTGCAAGGAGAATTGTAAATATGTTCAATCCTAGAGGAGACTGAAATACAAAATGTTTTAGCAATATCTTTACATTTTATCTAAAAAGTAGGGAAAATGTTGTAAATAGAAACCTCAGATGTTATAGAAAGCAAAAGAAAGGACATCCAAGACAGACCCGCAATCACAATACTAAATATTTAGAAATCAAGTTGATTCCTTATTAATTTATAATCTCTAAGAGGTTGTTGGTGGTGTCATAGCCAGTTTAATGGGAGAGGTGAACAGGTTAAAAAAAAATCCAAATTGTTGTTCTAAGTCATAAAGATAGAAGACGCAAGATTTTTTTTCCAGAAGACCGTTTTTAACCTGATACTTTCCAGATTTAATAGTTGACAACAATTGACATGAGGAGAGTAAGAAGAAGGATTCAGATGTTACATTTTCCCCCCTTCAACTTTCATTTCTAGTATTATAGTTTGTGAAGTGTAAACCACGGTTTTGAATGCAAATTGCATTCTGGCACAATAAAAGATAAATGAGACTTTTTTAAAAAAAATAGCCATACATATGTAGCCTTGTTTAGTTTTTTTTAGGCTGAAGCTGCTGATAACATTCTACATAGCAATCATTATTAATAGTATAATAACCAAATTTCACATAGCAGTAAAATGAATTACCATATGAATAAAACAGTGACGAATTCTAATTTCATTACAAAAGGCCAGTTTTTTCCTTTAGAAAAATTCTGATCGCAAATTTCTTAAAGTATGTTGATTAAATCTAAAAATTACTCTAACTATATTCCAACTTGAATGGTGTTATTTGAAGAGAAACAATAAGAATAGGTCAAAAAGATAAGCATAAAATAAGGTGGCAAAATATTTTGGTATACAGAACAGTATGGAAATTACGGCTATTAAATTCAATTACATTCCTTTGGTGGGATTCAGATGGCTGTGCCTTTCTTATTCTGTCACAGAGATTATACAATTACTAATATTTCTCTAAAAGTATGTATGCCCTAAAGGTGTATTGGATAGTAATATTGTTATCTGTCGTGGCCATATACTTAGTAAACTATCAGCTGTCCCTGATCTTCCAGTGCACTGTGTTTCAAATTATTTAATTGGTAGGAATGTAAACACCCCCCTTTATAAAATATAAAATTTCAAAATAATCAAGTTGATTGTTTAAATGTGAAATAAAGTTTTATGGTGGAGGGTTTTTAAGCTTTTGCAAGATAAAATAAAAAGGTTAAGGAACAAACAGTATGCTCTGAAATTATTTCCTCAGCCAAATTTTCATAGAGGTTAACATCTGAAGATGATATTCAAATAAATTTATTAATAAAATTGTACATTAATACATTTGGTTAAATTGTTCAGTAATTTCAGTATGTGTAGGGCAGATATCATATGAAGACTAACTTGTAAGCTGTTATCTGGGGTTTTGGGGTTTGTTGTCTACACACAAAGCACCCACAGTAATATAGCCAGACTGAGATACTAACTGGAAAATTATAGAAATAGCTACCTTGTTTATATTTTATCTAGTCAGTTTTATGCTTGTAATATAGGTAGTCTGATTTAGTATCCATTTGAAATTATGATGCACTTAATGAGAGGGATTTAAGATGGATCCTTGTAATTGCAGCCACTGCAGCATTCCTGCAATCACGTGGTTGCCATTTGTGATTTTCACTACTGGCTTCTAACAAGGAAAGTCAATGGGAAGCCAGCAGCAGATAGCAAATGGCAAACACATAATCGTGGCACAACACAGTTGTGTGGTATTCACCTAACAATGGCAACTAGAATTGCTGGAACTCCTGTCAAGTGGTCATGTAATGTCACACCTTATGATTGGGTCGCTTAGTGATGAAGTTCCCAGTCCCAGTTACCATTGATAGCAGGAATACCTGTATTTGAAAATGAAGTAAGAAAATTCTAAAATATTCTAAAATTCCTGATACAAAACTTCTGAAAAGAATCTCTAAAATATCACTTATAAATAGATAAATAGAAGATAAAAAAGAATTAGTTCTCTAAAATGTTTTAATGTGTTCTGCCAAAGTATTTTAATTTAATCAAACTGAAAATTTGTCATATTTATAATATTGCTTTCTAAATGCATTAATTTAACCCCTATTATTTTAGTTAAGAACAGTTAAAAAAGGAAAATACATAAAAAGTACATATACTGAAGTAGAAATACTTTTGTATTTAAGGCAAGAATATTGTGGTATACATCTAATAATTAAACATTCAAATCATTGTGTCCATAACACAAAGAATTCATAATATTGGTTCCAGTGAGAGTTTCTATTCCCAAATAATGACACTGAATATTAAAGCCAATCTTTTTTAACTTTTACATTATTCCCACATAAATTTAGGCATTAACTAGGATAGATAGTTTGTTTAAAGTTTACCTACATGAGATGCTTTACTTTGTATCAAACAATATTTACTGCGGGCTACATATTTGATACTAAGTTTTATGTAGTAGCTCTTATAATTACCAGTTTTCAAAAAAACAACTTTATTAATTTTTTCAGGAGATAAATCTCCCCCTAAACTTGAACCATCAGATGCATTACCTCTTCCTTCAAACTCGGAGACTAATTCAGAGCCACCAACCCTCAAACCAGTAGAACTCAATCCAGAGCAGAATAAATTTTACAAAAGAGTAAAATTTGACAATGAATTGTGTAGTACTTCCATTGAGAAAGAAATAAACGGACACACTCCAGAACATTTACTTGACAGTAATCTCAGTGAGTCGACTGTTTCTGCTGTAGCTGAGTCATCAACTGATGTAAACAGACGTACATCAATTCTCTTCTGCAAATCGAAAAGTGTAAGCCCCCCAAAGTCTGCAAAGAACACTGAAACCCAGCCAACTTCTCCACAGCTAGGGACCAAAACCTTTTTGTCTGTAGTCCTTCCAAGGTTGGAGACACTACTGCAGCCCAGGAAAAGATCAAGGAGTGCATGTGGAGATTCTGAGGTGGATGATGAGTCCCCTGTAAAGCGTCTGGATACAGGTAAACATTTGCTTTACCTACTTTTTGAAGGTAGCCTAGATAACTGTTAAATATAGTAGGTCATTTATATTAAATTAACAATATAAATACAGAATGTGATTTATTTGGTGTATCTTCATCAGGTTAATTTTCTTTTATTAATGTCTAGCTCTACTTTTTGGCACGATAGATTTTTGGTCTGCTCTTGAAATCTGTGGCTTCCTGACTTTATATAGTTCCCTTTGTTTCTAATGAATAGAAATTACTTTATTTAATCAATTCAACTGCAAAATATATCCATGTCCATGTAACAATTTAATATGTCTTTCTTTTTTGGAGGGAGATGAATTCCATGAAAATGTATGTGTATATATCTATACATCTTTATATTTAGTTGTAGGTATAGATAATGTTTCTTCAAGTGCTTTTGCAGGACTATTAAATAGATTTTGTATTTTCTGTGAGTATTTTTTATGCAGTGCTTCTAATGAAAGCTAAAAAATAGATGTCCTCGGTATTGATAATACTAATCTGAAATTTTTACAAGTGAGTGGATAGAAGACATCTTAATTACTATGTTTAATTTTAGTATAGATAATTAAACCTATTTTCATAAGCTCTAATGTGATAGAAATTAATGTATGACAAAGCATTTTATGTCTCATTAAAGTCAGAATGCTTGATTAGAAATGTTGTGGAACGTGTGCTGTTTTCTAGATATTGTTACATACAAATGTGCTGTCTGCAAATTTATTTGACTTTTTATTCCTGAAAACAAATGACTTATATCATGATAATCAGTTATTTTAGTATTCAGAGTCTACCAATCAATATAAAATGAATGCAAGAAGTCCGTGTTTTAATAAGGATAAAATAGTTGATAGTTGTTTTTATTTCTGGATGTAAACTTACATAAGTTCCTGTTTAGAAACTATGAATGCTATCTTTGAATTCGGATCTGTGAACCAAAATAATAATGACAGGCTGACTGTTCAGCATCTCTTGTTGCTTTTACACTGTTTTTATACTGTATTTTCAGGTTGCATGTATCCTCTAAATCTGTGGACCTTAAGGTTAAGGTGCAAGTTTCTTAGAACTCCTGTTAAAATATTTCCACTCTAGGAATGAATCACTTTCTGTAGCTATAGGGAGAAAAGAGCTGTTTTTTTCCACCTTACTATATAATTATGATACAATATGTTATGCTACACAAAAGGGTTATTTTTCATCTTTCATTTTGGGATTTTTGTTTTATTTTATTAAAGTATAATGTATTACACTTGTTAAAAGACTTAACACAATTGATGGTTGGTGCCAGAGGTATTCCTGAGCTGTGTTGTGAGATTTGGGGTTTGTTTGCAATTTAGAGATCTGACTATCCGTGTATGGAATGTTTTGCAAGTGCCATAGAGGTGGGTTAAAAAATATATATGATAACTTCATGGCACATGATCATTATCTTGACCTAATATAATAGGATTTTGAAAAAGCTGCTCAGGTAAACTTTTAAAATATTTGAGCTTCTTACATATAGATATAATTTTTATATTTCATGCAGCTGTTTATTTAAATTGCTTTACTGTTTTAGAAAGACAAAAAATAATGACAACTTTTACTGCCTTCCTGAAAATACAAAAGGAGAATTGTACTTGGTGAACAATGCTTTTAAATTTGATGCTTCATACCTGCATGTATTGAACCATCAAAGAACTATTCTATTCTGTTTCTGATAATAACAGGGCACATAATTATTTTACAAGTAGGAGTAATGATCTTTCTCTGAAATAACATAGTGCTATGATTTATATTAAGTGAATTTTATTGCTTCAGTTATGATTTGAGTGACATGATTTTTAATCCATTTTTACCTGCATTCTATAGAAGTCCTCAAGTATGATCAAAGCAGCATATTGGATTTAAGCCAGTATATGTTGGATTGAATCATGCTTTGATTCCATTGAATCAATGATATTTAAGATTGAAACAGAACTCTAAATCCACGCTACTGTATTGTGTCTTTATGTAAGGATTTGGTTACTGGGAATGCATTTTATAGTAAGCAATTTTGTTGTTTGGTATTATGGTTTTGTGACAATTACGAGAAATGTTCCAGTGAAATGTAGAGGAAAAAAGTATTTCCAACTGCTCTATAATTATTACTGTCATTACCAATATTTCTAGGCATAGTTTATATTTGAAATATATACTTGTACTATATAGTTGGGAGGAAAGACCATTTTATTTTTCCTCAGAACTTCAGTTTTCTAATATATTTACAAAGTGCCTCCTAAAACTCGTTCACAGACCATTCATTCACTGATCAAAAGGAAACTTATGCCCGTTCTCAAAAGTCATTGCTGTTACAGCATACACAAGCGCGCGCGCACACACACACACACACCATGATTGCAGTTCAGGCACCTCGGCCAGCACTCATTTCATAGCACCCATTCTATTGCTAGAAAAGGAAAAGCCAAAACAGCTTTTCCCTTAGCGAGATAGAGGCAAAGTGCTTTAAGGGCATATTGGCTGTATCTGGCTAAGATTGCAAAACTGGGGTTTTCTCAGTGCAAAGCCAGCCTTAGAAGCTCTTGGCAAAGAAATACCCCTGTGCCCCACTCTTGCTCAGAGTGAGGATGCTTTGTGCCTTTATTCCCACCCCCCTTTTCACGGTCGCAAAGCCAGCCCCATAAGCCCAGGAGGAGCATGGCATTTTGGTGCGTGTGGGGGCTCAGGGAGGACCTGCTTTACTTTTTTTTCTTTTCCCCCCGGTGAAGCCAGCTCCATATGGCCCAACATCAGACTGGACATGTCTTGCCAACAGGATCAAGAAGAGAGTGTCAAAAGTCAGCTGGGGTGGGGCGCAGGATGGCAAAGGACCAAAAAGGCATATAGAAGGAGAGATTGATGGGGTGAGTTGCAGCTTCCCTGTGTTCACAAGTGCATCAGCAGTTGAGGCCTAAAGAGTATGACCCGAGGATAGATAATATAAACAAATTTATAAAGTTGAGGATTCAGGAGGAGTACTTCAATATATAAAGCACTAGCTTCCTAGGATTGGATAAATACTGAATGAGTGGTTCCTGTGTTCTCTGTGGGGATGTTCCCTATATATTTGTGGATAAAGATTAAATACATTTACTTTCTAGACTTCCATTCTGCTTTGTGTTCAGGATCTTTGGAAACAGATTTGTGTTCAGCCTTATCAGTTTGCCTTTTTGTAAAATAAACATGTTTGACACACTTTTCTGGCAGACATTTTAGTGCACAATGCTTTCTAATAACTTAATCCTCCAACTAACAAACTAACCTCTAGAGCAATATGTACAGTTGTGGAGAACATCTCTTGCAATGTCTTGTTAAACATTTTTTTAAAAGGAAGGAGTTATTTTGTACAATGCATGTATAGAAAACGGATACTTCTAAACAAGAACAAAATATTCTAATGCCCTTGAAGTTAAATAAGCTCACAAGACAAACAGGGAATGCAAAGCATTTGAAAGGCATTCTTGCAGAGCACATTGGTGTAAGCAGAATCCCCCTCCTTGTTAAAGTGTTAAAATGACCATATCCCCCCAGAGGATTTTTTTTTCCCTTTCAGGTATTCCCCCTACTTGTCTCCATATGTGTACGCATGCGCAGAGGCTTTGCTGATAGGTGCTGCTAATGTGTTTTCTATAAATATAATATTGTTACTTTTTCTGGTGTTTGAAGGGTAGCTTCACTTTCCTATTCATTCCCATATAGATAAATTAGTTCAACTAGTTTAGTTGAACTGAATAATTTTTTTTTAAAGTACAGAGAGATATTTAAAACAGACCCGTTAATTAAAGCGACCCCGTAATTGTTAAGTGGTATGTAGAAATGAATAAAGACTAAGTCCAGGGCTTGTGATCTGCATTCCAGGAAAAGGATTTCAAGGTTAATACCCATTGTACTTAATCTCATATAAAGAAAGCAAATTTAGTATAACTATTCTCATTTTTTATCAAACAAGATTGTTAAATAAATATTAAAGTTGGGTAATAACAGTGATTCCTGCTGTCTTGAAAAAAAAATGATAAGGATATATCTGGATTTCCAACAACTATGCAATCTTTTTTGTATTAGAAAAGTTCTACGTCTTTGTGTTCTGATTGCCAGAACTCATTATTACCAAACATAGTAAAGCAAATGTAGCAAATGTGCCTAATATAAAAAAAAGTCATCTTTCTTTTGTAAAAAACAATATAAATGATAAAGGTGCACAAAGAATATCTTTCTTTCTCTTTGAACAATTGACAGTATCAGGCCATATTTTTAAAAATATCTTGCCTAAAATCATGCATTATCAAAGTAAATTCATATATATTTAAACTGCTTTATAAGTTCAGTTTCTTATCTAGTATCAACTGCTTAATAGATCCAATTTCTTATCTATTATTTACATTCCTAGGACATTCTTTTATCAACATTCATTCTATGGTTTATCTGCTTTCCTTGAACATTTTTAAATACTTATATAAGTTTTAAATAGAAATTTAGAACTAAATTAAGTAATTTTAGCTAAATTCAAAACAAATGTGTTTTTCCTTTATGTATGCTGAATGAATTAGTAGCTTCTAGTAATCTTAAATGTGTTACCATACACCATAAATGCTCAGGATAGTTTCTTAGGTTTTCATCACTAACATTTTTCTCTCTACTATTGTGGCATAAGGCAAATTTACTAATATTGACTATTAAATATAGAAATAAATGCACAAGTATCATTATCATTTTGTTTTGGGAAAAGAAATCTGCCCTCCTCCAAAATCAGCCCATGATTTTTATTAAAATACCTTAACATTTTCTGCTGATACCAATATCAATCATGAGCAGCAGATTCAAAAGAGACTCTTTCAGTCCATTTTATCTGTTTTTACTATTTTGTATTCTTTTAATAGCTTTATCACTTACCCAGAGAACTCTTCTCTTAAGATAGGTTAAACATATAATAAAGAACTAGTAAAATACATGGATAATTTGCATAGTTTTGCTGATCTTGCTCTGAAAACTACTGGGAGGAGGGCTTATTTATATCAAGCTCTTTTCCTTTCAGTGAGACTAAATGGCTTTTTCACTGTCTTCCAGGTTCTCATATTAACTAATATGCTGACTATTTATCTATTTGGATCCTAATTATTTTCTATTATCCTGAACACGGACTGGAATTCAATGTAATGATCATTTTGGAACGCAGAAAGACAATTACATTTCAAGTAATTATTTTGGATCATGTTGGAGACATCAGCCATCCTTATAACAAAATCTGTATCTTGAACACTGTTGGAGGAACTCTTTGATATATATGAACCTATGCTCTTCATTCAGTATATTTTCCCATCTCCGTAAGTTATAAAATTGTATGTTGCAATCTATGTGACATAAATTGGCTGGAGGTTTACCAATCCCCAGAATTCTTATCTTAGATATTTTACTTGTGGGTTGATTGGTTAAGAATGTTCCTTTCCATTATCATTCCTCTGCAAACTAATTCAATCTTCCATCGGCCCAGATTTAGACTTCACCAATAGTTTAACAATTTTCCACTTTATTCGTTGCATATGGTATGAATATTCACACAGCATGTAATAAAGACACTAATAGTTTGGTTTGTTTTTTTAAAGAAAATAAAGCACGGTTTTATGCATACACATTTTTACACAAGCTCTTGAGTTGTAAAAAATCGTTGAAATTACTTACATTTTATAACTTAGCTAATATCTACATAAGCTAACCTAATCCTTGTGGTGCTCCAGTTACCCAAAAAAACAAGTAAAGTAGCTTCATGCTATTTAAAGTAGATGGGCATAATTTTCCTAAATTCAGTATCTCACGTCGGACTTTACAAATGTTAATAATTTCACCTTTATGTTTCCTGTATTTATGCTTGCTTATGTGGCTGTGCTTGCATTTTTAAAAAAATATTTTGCTTATTTTGTTTTGAGAGAGGGATCAGTAGAGAACACTACTCTAGTAATCACAAGTTTATTTAGTTATTTACATTTCAAAAGGCTTTGTTAACATAATTAAACCTTTTTTCATCATATTCTCATCTTCAATACAATACAGTTTTAGGTTTGTGGTAACGCACTCTCAAGTAAAAATCATTTGTGTGTGTGTTTGTGTAATGTCAATAAAACAATTCATTAAAATAAATGCAGTTCTGCTCCTATAAGGAAAATATCTATAATTGCTGTTACAATTACTTACTTCAACCTCCTGATTTCACATGCATATGCATACATTGTCCCTTAAATTTTATATGCCTGAATGCTAATAGAGTTACTATATGGAACAGTGGTAATACAAAAATAAATCTTTAATTAGCTTCCTGTGGCATGATATTGAATAGGTAAAAGCTTGATTCTTTAGAAGGAAAGTAGACTTTATGGGTATTTTTAACAAATAATAATAATCTCAGTTAAATGTCATAGACTGTTGTTTTCTTAAAATCAAATTAACAGCTGATTTTGTGTTATGAATGTTGTTTTATCTAGCTATACCAAAGAATGAAGTGTGAAAATATATATACACACTGACATATGCATACATACATGCAAAAATCAAGGGAAGTTAATAAGCCCTTGAATCGAAGACTTATGGATTGGGACATGTTTTAGGTAGACGTGACAGAACATGTGATAGGCAGAAGTTGAATTTAGATGTGGAAGTCCATCAGTTTCCTGGCAGGGCAGTCCTTGAAATTTTCCAAAATTGTTTGCAATATCAGCAGTATACATTTTCTAGATTGTTTTCCTTCTTCATTGTTTTAAGTCAATATCTTAAAATAGCCTGTCAGCTAACCCAAAATATGAATAGAACTATAGATAGACTGTATCTGTTCCCAGCAATATTCAAGCATTTGGTATTTTTTATATTATGCATTTATTTTTAAACTCAGCAGTTATATAAAATAATATGTATAGTAGAGTATACCATGTAGACATAAAAAAATAAAACATTTTTATGGATTTAGATTCATTTATCTAATTGACTAAATAGGAGAACAGCATGTAAATGCTTTAAAACACAATGTTTTGTTTTCTAGATATTCTTTCTAGGCTTCTGAGAAGGATACAGTCTTTCCACAGTTCCATCTGCTCTCTCTGTGTGCATTTGAACTGTGGTCAGAGTTACGTACCATGTTTTGCATTAAGAAGTAATTAAAACAATAGGAATTATTTTTTTCCCATTTGCATAATGATTTAGGAATATAATTACTCTTTCTGTAGTATATTTACTAAAATGCATGCACATGGTAACTTATTGATAATGGGACAACTTTACCTTTATGTCATTGTATAGAGTGGGCATGGTTGTAGGTATAGATACTGGTATAAAATGTATGATGTTAATACTTCTGGAAACCTTTTAGGCAACATGTTTATTTTGCTATGAAAAAATGTCTACCTTTAATATAGAGAAGACAGTATCTACTGCCTGCTGTCATGCATTAATCTGTATTAAATACAAAGCCAAACAGTAATATCTTGCTAATAAGGTAATATTCTTGTATTGTTTCTTCCTCATATATGAGTCTATGTGTTTCTTTTGGCATGCATATATTATATGGAAATTATAGGAGACAGGATGGAAATCTGAATTTTATTCAGCAGGATCATGCATTCTTGGATTATTTTGTTGTATGAGTATCACATGGTAACATTCTTTTATTTTAACGGAATATTGGAAATATTTCATTTATGATACATACTTTGATGCCTTGATTATTAGTCATAACAATTATATCATTCTTTTTAGTACTTTCTCAACATATCAGCATTTCCACAAATAACCCTGCAAATATTTTCTTACTATATTAGATTTGCCAGCCTCTTTTCCCAAATTTAAAATTGTCGATCAGTTTAGGTTATAGACGTTTGGATTTAATGAATGTTTTATATGAGATAGCATGTGTATACAATTATAATGCTGGATGAAGATGATTGCGATAATTTTAAATTTATGGAAATAAACACTCTGCTGACTGTTTTTGATCCAAATATGAGGTGTCAAGTGGAGGACAATGACTTCGTTTTCTTCTGGCCAGTGGGGAAGAATAATTATACTTTCTTTTGCAGCTATGGTGGTTTATACTAAATATTACCCACATGGTTACAGTTTGTGATTACATGTTTTCTACAGTGGTAATTTGAATGAAGGGTTTTAGTTGTGTGTTGCTTCCTCCGATGTGACTCTTCAACTGTTATTTCAAGAGCAGCACTGTTCAACATGACTTGCAATTATTATTTCCTTTGACTGGACGTCCTTTTTTTCACTGGTGCCTACACATCTTCTGAAGTTTTTTTTAAATTAACATTTTATCCTTTCTTTTCAAACACTACAGCTCTGTTAATAGAGATACTAAAACATGCATATTAATGTATATTGAAATTAGTAGGAAACTTCAGCATCCTTCCAAATTAAATGTATTTTTTTTCTTTGTTAACCTGCCAGGCCTTTCAAATGGTTTTGGAGATGGCAATAAAGAATCAGAAATACATGACACTCCAGGAAGAAAAGTTGAACCTCGTCGCCGTTGTGCATCAGAGTCTAGCATATCTTCAAGCAACAGTCTGTTGTGTAACTCAAGGTAAAAATGTGTTTGCTTAAATGAAAAGATGCTCAAAATATAGCGGAGGGATCAGTAGTGTGGAACTTATAATACTCTAGATGGAATCCATAACACACACACACACACAGAGAGAGAGAGAGAGATTCAAAAGTTAAATTTAGAAAATTAAATAACTCTTAACGTTGCATGAATTCATATACAAACAAACAGAAAGGAAGAAAGCTTTGCAATTTTGCCCGAGTTGGATTTTAGTCCTTAGTATAAAGTTCAGGATTTTTAGTTCTCAAAGGAAGCAAATTTTTTTGCTACCTATACTATGCTAGCTAGCTTTTCTTATCAGGGATTGTAAGCCTAGCTTGAAATTTAAACATCTTTAAAAAGTGTTCTGTGTTATTTTGAATTCCTGAATTAGAATTCAAACAGTTCCTGTTTGATCTTACAACTTGAGCTACCGGATAGTGGCATGAACACAGCCCTATTAGGATCATTTTTGGATCTCTGAAGAAAATAATACTTTGGTGATTTCTAATACATTTTAAAATATGTGTAGTTTTAGCCGGCCAAAATGTGGAAAAGGTAAACCAGCGCTAATACGAAGGCACACCTTAGAAGACAGAAGTGAGTTGATATCATGCATTGAAAATGGAAACTACGCAAAAGCAGCAAGAATTGCAGCTGGTAATTGACATATTTTAATGTATATATATTTATAAGTATGGTATTCAGCTTTGTTTGGGTATTTTCCCACATCATTATAGTTGTGCTTTTAAAGTTGTAGCAATGTTTCGGCAGAATCTCATCTTACATCATCAGGCTTGTGTAAGTATCTGTCTATATAACTTCTAGTTTGCTTAGTAAACTAAAAGGCCTTGTCTCTTCAGACCTGGGCATCTGTACTCATTGTGCTTTTTTATATATATCCCCCTTAATGCCATGATGTGTTTTCTTAACCTTACTTATGCTTCCTTTTGACTGATAATCATGCATGTAGCCCTTGACTTATGCCAGTCTCTTAGCAACTATTCAATGTTTGGGCACTAGGCCATCTGCCTGCATGTATGGCCTTTTGCAGAATTCCCAGTCATGTGACCACAGTATGTGATGTTTTGCTGGAAATCAGTATTTACTTTTGGTTTCCAGCAAAAAAAACGCCCATTGCAGATAATAGGTTTGCTTAATGACCACCATGCTCACTTAATGACTGCTGCAAAACAAAGGTTGTAAAATAAAGTGTGGTCAGGTGATGATCCACTAAATCAGGGCTGTCAAACTCCCGGCCCGCGTCACGCATTGGCCACACCCATTTTAGTGAAGGGGAAAAAAGTCCCGATATATCACGTGATGCCATCGTGATGGTGTGAGTGTGACTCCCCTGCACTAAACAAATGGCGTGACTTATGACTTTAATTCTGGGCTCAATTATGGTCATAGGCTCTCTTCAATCTTAAATATAACAAAATTATTTTCAACTTCTTATCTTTTTGTAAAACACACTCAATAGCTTTCATAATGTCATTTCCTTCCTTTAAGATGTGTTGTGATAAGGTTTTGCTAATATTACCACATTTTTCTCAGTTTCTTCATGGCTATTTGTCACTTATTTGACATATGTTATAAATCTTATATGTTGTATTCGAATAAGAGATAACAAAGGTTTGGCATAAGTCCAAAAGGTCAGGGAGCTCTTATAAAGACCTAGTCTGTGGTTCCAGCTGTTGAAGGGGAACGGTATCCCTGAAAAGAATTTAAGATTAGATCATCATTTGATTATATTTTTCCCTTTCTGCTCAGACATTTTATAGTAGTAGGACAAAGATTTGGATTTATAGTCATATATGTCAGCCAGATAGAGATAGCACTGGTCCTCTTATTTTTTTTTTGGTAGCTTTAAAATATATTTTTATAAATAATGCAAACATAAATAATATTCCTTCCTCCCCCTATATTCCCCACAATAAATCTGTGAGGTGAGTTGGGCTGAGAAAGAACGACTGTCCCAAAGTCACCCAGCTGCCTTCTATGCCTAAGGCAGGACTAGAACTCAAGGGTTTCCTGATTTCTAGCCTGCTGCCTTAACCATTAGACCAAAGTGGCTTTAAAAATGGCACATCCACGTTTTAAGAGATTGGACCAATTATTTTACATGACTATTGACCGTTCATCCTTCGTTTTTTTTTTTTTAAAGGATTTTGATGCTATTGAGAGTATGGCTGGGTGATAATTAATAAGGACCTTGAATTAAGTGTATTATCTGGATTCTTTTCTCTCTGGGTTCAGGCCTAGGCATGGAATGAAAGTTTCACTGGTTTAATATGCCCTTCTATGTCCTGCATGTTCTTTCAGTGGCATTTGACCATGGTATCCTTTGCAATCACCTACAAGGAAGCTGGCACTGTGTTGCTTTGTCCTAAGTGGACATTTTTAGTTGCTATTGATAAAGGAAGTGATATTAAGCTCTTGGATATTTCACTATGGGGTGCTTCAGGTGGAGCCTATGGCCAGAAAGGCTTTAGCCCAGCTTTAACAGAGGTCCCAGTTGTGGTCTTTTCTGGTTCAGGGTGCTCTGGCCATAGCAACTCGTGCTTTCCCATTTTGTGCGTGAATGACTGTAATATGCTTTACTTAGAGGTACTCTCTTAAAGGCAACTCAGAAATTCCACCTGGGCCAGAATACAATTGGCTAATAACCATTACAGCAGAGCAACAGCAATTTTGTGAGATTTGCATGGGTTACTGTTGGCTTTTAAATCCTCTTTGGATTATTGCCCATAAAGCTCTATCTACTTCGGGACCTTGTTACCGTACTGTAGGGACTACGGTGACTATAAATGGCTCCATCAATCCACATAGCCAGAGCGGACAAACAAGAATCTTCCATAAATCAGGATGAAAGGAGCTAGAAATTAAGCCTTCTCGGTGGCAGGCCTCTTTTCATTTATACAGTTGATTCAGATTTCAGTGCTCATGGTTGTATATTAATTTTGTTTCATTGTGATCTGTAGCTGTACTAGTCAACATATAAATAATTGTAAATAAACGATCTGCATGTGCTAAAATTTGAACCCAGTTCAGTAAGTATTTTCATGCAGCTGGCAAATTTCTGTTAGCAAATGATCTTTCTGTGATTATTTTCTCTATTAAATATTACATTACAAGTAGTCCTCAACTTACAACCACTCCCTTAACGATAGGTCAGTTACAATGGTGCTGAAAAAGTGACTTAACAGCCTAGTCTCAAAGTTATAAACATTGCACCATGGTCACATTCCAGTTCAGAGATTTAAAGACAGCAAGAGTGCAGTGTCTTACAGTCATGCAGTCCCGATTTGTGGCCTTCTCAGCTGGCTTCTGGCATGCAGAGTCAATGTGAGAAGCCAGATTCACTTAATGGCTCAAATTCACTTCACTGCAGTGATACACTTAATGACCAGGTAAAAATGGTTGTAAAATCAGGTCCAGTCATCTGATAACTCACTTAACAACTACTTCACTCAGCAGACATAATTCCTGTCCTAATTGTTATAAATTAAGGACTACTTACAAAGATTTGGTTTAAGGCAACTTCTAAATCAAACTGATTTTTAATCATGTCAGACAGCAATAAAAATAGCATTTAGGCTTATGTTTCACCTCATAGTGCTTTATAGCACCCTCTGGGCAGTTTACAATGTAGAAGCCTTATTTGCATATCGCCCCCAACAATCTGGGTCCTCATTTTATTAACCTCAGAAAAATGGAAAACTGAGTCAATCTTGAGCCACATCAGAATCGAACTCCAGGTTGTGGGGAGAGTTTGCTGCAATATTGCACTTTAACCGCTACACAATCAGATCTTCAGTTCATATAGGACAAGAAAAGATGCTGTTGCTTAAAGTTGTTTCTTAGTTTCTTCATCCTTTTATTCTCAAAAAAGCATCCTGAATTTGCCTTTCCATCAGCTTAATCCTTTAATCCTACAGATCACAACAAATTATTTTCTAAAATAACTTTCTTCATTTTAGAAGTTGGACACAATAACATGTGGATTTCAACGGATGCTTCCAATTCTGTCCTTGAACCTCTAAAAGTTGTGTGGGCCAAATGTAGTGGCTATCCTTCCTATCCAGCACTGGTAAGTTAGCACTCCATCAACAAAACCTCTTGGGAAAACCCAATGTATAGAGTAAGGATCTGTATATAGGAATCAACTTTCATTACGGATAAAACCAAGTACCCTGTTACTCACATCTAAAATTTAGTATGTAATTTCTGAATTCCTGATGTAATAAATAACTTGCTTTTTGAAGTTGTCAGGATATAGTTGTATCTGCCATGTAGATTCAGTTATACAAACTTTTAACAATACATATTTTGCGTATCATAAAAAAATAAGCCAACTTGCACTCGTGCTTAATGAAATAAGTTTGTATCTGATTGCTCAGTTACAGACAACCATAAGTTAAAAAACAAACCCAAAACTTTCTGAATCTACTTGAATACATTGCATAGCTAAACACTGACCTAAAGTGGTAAACACATAAACATATATGAAACTCTTTAGATAGGTATGTGTGTATATACATTCATATACCCTGTATTTCATACCTTGTTACTAAATGTTAGAGCAGCAGTCTGGAAAGTAATGCAATTGGTTATATGATAATATGTTTGCATGCTGTTTTTTTAAGAACTACAGTAAATTGAATTTTAGGATTGTATGGAACTTCAGGTTCATAGGCAAAATGCATGTAGCACTTTCTGCAACTCTTATTAATCAATATATTTTCCCCAAATTTCTCTGTAACTACAGAGGGCAGTTATTAACACCCTGTAAATGTCACCACTGGAGGGTTCCAGATAGCAGCGTATTTTTGTCTTTGAATCCCAAACCCCGCACACTTGTAGTGCATTTAAGTTTATGTCAAGTGGGCTGAATATGAAGTCTGTAGAGAATTAATTTACATCCAGTATGTAAATCTCTGCCAGACAATCCCTTTACGAAAGTAGACTTCAATCTGGTCTCTTGACTTCCAATGGAACATTGGGAAGTGCTTGAGGAAGAGCTATGAGGAGGAAGGAATGGAGACGTTAGTGTGGAAATTAGGTTCTGAGTTAGAATATCTCTGGAGAGATACGTTGGTATACCCAATTCTAGATTTCGCTTATTCATAAGTTCATAGTAATATTAATATTTAAATATTTTTGAAGAATCTTTAAAATATTGCTACTTATTTAGCATTATTTGCCGCCCCATTTTACAGATAATTGATCCTAAAATGCCTCGTGTTGCTGGTCATCACAATGGTGTTACAATACCAGTGCCACCCCTTGATGTACTGAAAATTGGTGAACAAATGCAGACCAAATCAGATGAAAAACTTTTTTTGGTTTTATTTTTTGATAATAAAAGAAGCTGGTAAGTAATTCTTCTCTCTCCTTAACATAGTTTTTTTTTTTCTTTGTAAGACAAATAGACATTTATTGGAAATATTGTTTGATAGGAAATGATTGCTCCAAGTGCTGTATTAGAGGAGCAGTGTGTTAATTGTGAAAGTAATCAGTGTTTTTTTAAGTATAAGTAGTCTTAAGGAAGGTCTGCCGCCTTTAACCACCGTCTGCAGAGTTATGACTTGGATGAAAAAGTAATTTTGTAATCAGTCCTTGTCTTCAGACCTGCAGAGCAAAGGACAGCTGAAGGAATATTATAAAATTGAGATGTTTCATTTAACTTTTCTTTTATATAATAATGTGTATTAGAAAGTGTAAACCTTGTAAGATAGTCCTTGACTTATAACCATTTGTTGAGTGGCCATTTGAAGTTTGCAACCGCAGCATAAGTCACTGTATAACAAGAGCATAAGTTACTGAGGAAAAAGTGACTTTATAACCATTTTTCACACTTAAAAACCATTGCGGTATCCCCACGATCATGTGATCAAAACCCGGATGCTTGGCAACTGGTTTATACTTACCGATGGTTGTAGTGTCCTGAGGTAATCTTTTGCAGCCTTTTTGACAAGCAAAGTCAGTAGGGAAACCAGATTCGCTTAACCATGTCACTACCTTAACAACTCCATTGATTTATTTAACGACCGTGGCAAGAAAGGTCGTAAAACGGGGCAAAACTCAATAATTTTCGCTTAGCAACAGAAATCTTGGGCTCAGTTGTGGTTGTAGGTTAAGGATTACCTGTACGAGTTTACAAACTAATGCAAAGAAGAATACAAGAAAAGGTAGGGGACTGGAGACTGAAACATATAAAAGAACGGTTACAGGAACTGGGCATGGCTAGTCTAGTGAAGAGAAGGACCAGGGGAGACATGATAGCAGTCTTCCAATATTTGAGGGGCTGCCACAGAGAGGAGGAAGGGGTCAAGCTATTTTCTAAAGCACCCGAAGGCCAGATAAGGAATAATGGATGGAAACTGAACAAGGAGAGACTTAACCTGGAAACAAGGAAAAACTTTCTGACAGTGAGAACAATCGACCAATGGAACAGCTTGCCCTCGGAAGTTGTGGGAGCGCCATCACTTGAGACTGTCAAGAAGAGATTGGACTGCCATTTGTCAGAAATGGTGTAGGGTCTCCTGCTTGGGCGGGGGGTTGGACTAGATGACCTATAATGTCCCTTCCAACTCTGATTATCTGTTATCTGTTAAGTACAGAGAAAAAGAATTGTGTGTTTATGTCTGTATGTTTGTGTGTAAGATTACATTCCTCTCCCTCCAGGCGAGTTCAAACATACCTAATTGATCACCCATGTCTAGTATTTGTTTCACTTCACTTTTCTGCTGTAGTGCCTGGTGTCTAGAATGTGATTCTACCCCTTCCCAATGTGAACTTAGCCCTATCCCTGTTTGTGTTTCTGAAGTTCCTGAAAATGTGGGTTTTTTTTCAGCAATTTTGGGGATCCCATGGAAAGCCTGTCGGATGATTATTTTGTGTTTAGATGTTATTTTTATTTATTTTTTTAAGTGTTCAAGTTAATTTCAACTTTTAAGTTGTGATATTATGATATTGTTTTAATTGTATATTGACCAGAGACACCTTCAGTGGGATGGAGAAATCATATATATTTGTTAAATTAATAAATAATCCATAAATAACATGAATTATGATTCCTATATTGCTTCTAAAAGTTGTCACTAAATCATAATCTAATTTGACTGGATTGTTGGATCGTATTTTTTCAAGGTTAAAATGAAACAAAGTTTAAATTAAACCTTATTCTTGTCTTGGCCCCATCACATTTGGAGCTGTAGCAAAGACTCAGTGCTTCACCAGCCCCAAAAGGTAGAATGTTAAAATGATAAGATAGATATTTTAAAAGAGAATTAATTATTGGAGAAGCATTGAGTGTTTAATTATTATTTTTATTCCAAAATCTTTTTTAAAACATTTTCTTTCGTTTGTTTACAGGCAGTGGCTTCCAAAATCCAAAATGATTCCACTTGGGATCGACGAAACAATAGATAAATTAAAAATGATGGAAGGTCGAAACTCAAGTATTCGTAAAGCTGTAAGAGTTGCATTTGATCGTGCTATGAACCATTTAAGTAGAGTTCATGGAGAGCCAGTCAGTGACTTCAGTGATATTGACTAACATAGGTTGTCACCAAGATATAAAACTACAAATTAACCTCTTTGTCTACAAGAGAGAACTTGTATAGAGAACTACAAATTAACCTCTTTGTCTACAAGAATGTATTGAAGATACAGCTCAGTAATCATTGATCCAGTGGCAGAATTCTGCAGACTAAACTGGTTGAGCAGCTTCTCTAAATCACCATTGCCATATTGATTTAAAGTTTTATCATTATGTTGCTGTTTCAAGCATTTCCATTAAAATATATCTTGTTCATAGTGTTTATAAAATGTATATATATGTATAGTCAGCTCTTTAACTTATTCTGATTTTAAATGTAGCTTTTTAAAATTTTCTTTCTTTTGTTTGGGAAAAAGATAGGTTGTTGTTTCCATTTCTTTTCACATTAAAAAAAAATACATAGGCACCACTATCCTGCTAAGGGACTTTTTGAGGAAATAACATCAGATTGGATTAATAAATCATATATTATGATGCGGTGCTGCTTATGTAACTTTTTTGTGATCCATAGTTTTTAACAAGGCCTCTGAATGTTTGACTTTGCAAAAATCATTACTCTTTGCACAAAGTACCACATACCTAAACTGTAAATTTATGACAACAAATAAATATTTTAAATAAGGAATTACATTATTTTGGAGGGTACTTTGTGAGAAATATAATGGAAATAAAATTATGCTATGTACATCAGTTGGAAAAAATCTCTAAAAACACTCCATTGTTGCCCAAGATACCATTTTAGACATTTGTTGTGATTACACAACACTGGCTTAAAGCTTGTTAAGTATATTATTTCTCACAAACCCGTATCTCATCTATTTCCCCTGGATTTTATGTGCCTCCCTGTGTTATATTTATTGTAGAAAATGTATTACTTTGCTTTATAAAGAGAAATAAATAAAAAAAAGTATATTGATATACATTTTTATACAGGCACATAAGACAATTTGCTTTGAGAGAAAAAGTTGTCTTGAAAATGGTTGTATAAAATAACTTGATCGGTTGTGTGTAATTTGACTTTTTTTGTAACTTGTAATCTTTGCTTCAGTGAGGGGATTTATGTAACTTTTAATTTTAGAACACTTTGGTAGCAATAGAAAATTTGGATACATTTTTGTATGGTACATGTGATGTATATAGAATTAGTACTTTATTTTTATTTCAAAGAGGTAAAGCATTACATTTAGGGAAGGAAGTGGTAGGGTGGGTTTCCATTAATATCTTTTATATTAAAAAATAAAGTCAACTATTGATTGTTGTAGCTACTTTCTTTCTATGTTCACTGGGATACTGAATTTGTAACAATGAAAATAGCAACTATGTTTTCAATGTGATTTATAATGACTGCGTTATTTATAAGTGCACTGCGTTGGAGTCTTCGTTGATAATTTAAATACTGTACCAAGGTATATAATATGCAACACCAAATAATGCATACGAATGCACGGAATATTTATGCCCAGCTTTTTTAAAAAAATAATGGGTTAGCAAATATGGTAAAGCCAATACTTTTAAAATCTTTTAAAACCATTTCATTGGGTATTCTTTATTGTAAAACCTGCTTGAATCTTTATTTTAAAGCTACAGCCAATTTTGGAATAGTTTCTAATGTTTTTATTCCCTATGGTTTGTAATACCCCCCTCCCCTTAGAAGCTTGAAATAAAATTCCTTTCTCAAATGATACTTTTGTCATGCCTTTGGCCCCTTAAAATGTCTTCCAAATATCCATAATTGTTGAATTTCCATTGAATCCTAGTTTTCATAATGGAAATTCATCCAGCTTTTTTCTTAAGAGTTCATTTTAGCATAAGGATCTGAATAAAGAATGTGTACATTCATGAGCTCTAGGCAGTATTTCATAATATTTCAAACATATAGTTGCTGCAACCCAAGTTTTGTATGTACATGTAATTTAATACTCAAGTGAATGTAATTGCTAGAAGAACTCTTGGAAGTACTGTATTTGAGGTTTCCTTTGATAACAAGAATTCAAAATTATAAATGAGTAGAAATGTTAAGAAATAGCTGTATAAAAGGTGCAGATGAGCTCCAGCACAAGTCCAAAAGCTCAGAAGACTAAACCTCTGGTCCCGGTGACTGACCCAGATTAGATCCTGCAAAAAGTGCAGAATTTAACTAGGCTAGAAATTATATTTTATATATTTTTGGACTAATCCACATTTTGAGTTTATTTATATACAACTCCTATTTCATTCTTGCTAGAATTTTTACTAGTCATATTAAATAAACCCTTATCACCCAGTATAAGTCTATCCAGTAAGGATGAGTGTACTTCTACATCAATTTAGACATATCTTTCATAAATATTTCAAAAACTCTTCAATTTATTGCTACTGAGTGTCACTTAGAATGCTTCAACCCCTTGGCAGAAGAATGATTTTTTAAAAAAAGATGCTACCATTTTGTTCAAGGTAAGTTTTTTTTAAAAAAAGATGTTGGTCATAATTATAATAAAAGCTGATTTTCCTCTTTAACCCATTTCACAATGAATACAAAAAAGGCACTGTCTTATCTATATGATGGTATTTGAAGTAGAAACAAGAGTACAACTTTGTCATGCACTGGAAATGTTTTATTTCCACCACAGCTACCTGTACGTCATTCAAATCTGTTCTAGTCTGTTAGAACACTGCGACTGTGCGTTTGTGCATATTGGAACTGACTAATTGATCATACAAAATGGTTTAGATAATGAACTGATACGTTATGGTTTACTGAATTTTGCCAGGTTGGTTTCAATCATCGTGTGTGTATGTGTGTGTGTGTGTGTGTATGTTTGTGTGTGAACTGAGAAGGATGAAGACAAATTATATCTGATTTTAATTTAATATAGATTAATGAAACACATTTGATTGCTGCCCATATAGTCAATAATTTCTCATATTAAAAATCATTTCACCATGAATGTTTTAAAAAATTCTGAGCGCCGAGTTCAAGGCAGTTTGAATGTTTTCAGCTCTGGTTTCTTGAATTTGTTAAATTTTTCATGACTTTCACATAAATTTCAGTCATCCATGTCATGGGCACTTCATGGCATAGCCTCTCACATTTCAAGGAACGTCTATGGCTTTTCTAATAAAATAATTATCTGTGCGAAGGCCTGCAGCTGTTCATAAGTAGAAATGTCTCCCTATTGATATATTCTGCATTGTTTCTCTTGTCCACCAGATGGCATAGGCTGTTTTGCCCACAAGGATTTCCTGTCTATATTGTTGACTAAAGAGAGTAAATTTAGAATAAAATTGGGTATAATTTATTGTGGATGCAGTATCACAGGACCTCTCCAAAATTTAAAAAAAAAAACAGCAAATAAACAATCCCCATCCCTAGTTGTCCCAAATTGATTGGTTGATTCAAAGATTGACTGATGCAAATGTTAATATTCTGTCCTAGTCCCAATAACTAAGGGTAGCACACGTAAGCAATCGCCTAACCATTGATAGACAGTTTCTCTCTCTTCCTCCCTCCCCCCTTCTCTCTCTCTCTCTCTCACACACACATACCAGCAGTGGGATCCTACCTGTTCCGCTACCAGGTGATCGTGCGCACGTGCACAGTTTTCCACACCCCAGCTGAGGCCTGCAGTGCCAAGAGGAGAAAGAACAAAACCGCAGGGGCAGGTTGGGAGGGCCAATCCTGCGCTTTTTTTTTTCTCTCAGCTGATTTTGGGAGGCTTTTTTTACTACCAGTTTGGCTGAACTGGTAGCAATTTTTCCTGTCGGTTTGGCTGAACCAGGCCAAACTGGTAGCATACCACCACTGATACACATACACACACACACACACACACAACTAAAACTCTGGGCAAAATAGTGCATCATAGGACAAAATTCCTTGGAGTGTGGAATCCAAGGATAGAACTGATTTATGAGAAACATTTTGATGATGGATGCCAGCCGAAGAGTAGGACAACCCATTACGGACATTCAAAACGATTTCCGTATGTCCACAAGCATTTTTTCTGAATTGGGTGGGGTGTTTTGTTTTTTATTTAAATCTCCCCTCTTTTATAACGCGAACTATCGGTGTCTTTCCTTCAGTTGCTTCAATTCATTGTTGGGCCATAGACTAATCCAGCTGTGCTCACATCCTAGCAGCCTTCTGCGGCCTGAGAGTTCTACTGTATAGGTGCACGGATTTCAATTCCCAGAATTCCTTGCTAGCAAAGCCCTGTCTCTGTATTCTGCAACTTCAAGTCCACATGTTTCAAGGATGACCAAGATGGAGAAGGTGCATTAGTGCATTAGCTAAGATTGGCAGTTTTACACCAGAAAAGAAGGCAATGATTTTCTTCTTACTGATGGTCATCTCCAGAGGATGAACTGGGGTAATGTGACTCTTCTTTACTGGCAATTCTATCATTGGATTGCTCAGTTTTACAACTTTTTAAGAAGGTTTTTCAACCTGGGCGCCTTTGATATATGTACATTTCAACTTCCAGAATTCCCTAGGCAGCTAGGGAATTCTGGGAGGTGAAATCCACATAATTCAAATTTTGTAAGGTTGATAAAATGCTGATTTAAGAAATGGTATGAGTTGCCTTCATTACACAAATATAGCAGGATCTTAAGAATTTGATAGAAGCAAACTGTTTTTCAATGTAGATGAGACAGAAATATTATTTGCCCAACAACCACCCAATAATACACTGGTTTATAATGCCCCATAAAGATCAAGTATGCACCTTATGAGTCCTGGATCTGTAATCATTGTTAGGTCATTGTCACCTATGACCTCAAGATTTAAGGGCACATTTGTACAACTCAGGATGAAATTCCAACATAATGGCCAACCAGGAATTAACAAAGCTCATTATAGTAACAGTTCAGTGATTATCTGAACCAAGAACCTGACTTTGTAAAACTAAATCCACTTTGGTTTCCCTCTTTTATCTTTGCACCCAATGGAATCTTGTAATGAAAGTATATAAAGGAACATCAGATGCCATCTTCCTATCTCTGTCCATCAACAAGAC